TTTTGACCGTCTTCCAATCTGGTAACGAAGGTGAAATCATCATAAGTTCAAGAAATGACAACAACCGCGTAGCGAAAAGTGAGGCTGTGGCTGCAATTGCTAGTTCATTTGAGATAGCCATGGCTGCAGCAATATATGAAGCTCGAAAGAAATCGCAAAACTATTCAGTGGCATTACAGCATATATACCAAGCAGCTAGTGACCAAGAGCCTGCTCAAACAGCGGTAGACAATGGGCTAACACCCAAATGGCAACCGGAATGGTATGATGGATTGTCATACTGCACGTGGAATGCACTTGGTCAGAATTTGACTGAACAAAATATTTTAAACGCTCTTCAATCACTCAAGGAAAATGGGATCCAAATATCCAGCCTTATTATTGATGACGGTTGGCAGTCTCTAGATAATGAGGGCCAATCGCAGTTTAAGCGGGGTATCACACGTTTTGAAGCAAGCCAGGGTGGATTTCCGCATGGTCTTCAGCAAACAATTGCTAAGATCCGTCAAGAGAACGAGGGGATAAAGCATGTTTCTGTATGGCACGCTCTGTTGGGTTATTGGGGGGGCATTTCACCTGCTGGTGAAATAGCATCCAAGTATAACACAATAGAGATCGAAAGAACAGGGGAACCCGCCTCCAGAAAAATTAGAATCGTCGATCCCGATGATATACCCTCGTTTTTTGATGACTTTTACACCTTCTTATCGTCAGCAGGTGTAGATTCAGTGAAGACTGACGTCCAATCCGCTTTGGATAGCCTTGAAGGCGCGAGCATTCGGCAGCGTTGTATAACAACGTACCAGGATTCTTGGTCCAGGTCATTGTCGCGGCATTTCCAAGCAAGGTCCATATCCTGCATGTCCCAGACACCCCAAATCATATTCCACTCCCTCTTACCCACCAATAAACCTCGACTCATACTGAGAAACTCAGACGACTTTTTCCCAGATATAGAATCTTCTCACACATGGCATGTTTTTTGCAATGCCCACAACAGCTTGCTGACAAGATATCTCAACGTAATTCCAGATTGGGATATGTTCCAAACGTCCCATTCCTATGCATCGTTCCATGCAGCTGCCAGATGTGTGTCAGGTGGCGTCATTTATATAACAGATGAGCCTGGAAAACACAACCTGGCTATTATTAACCAGATGACTGCCCAAACAACGAGAGGTGACACAGTGACCCTACGCCCCAGCGTTGCGGGGTACAGCAGAGATGTGTATAATAGCTATGACGATGGACATCTGTTGAGAGTTGGGTCATTTACTGGCTGGGCGAGAACGGGCAGTGGATTCTTAGGTATATTCAATATTGCGTCAGAAGATACCTCCGCTCTCATCCCTGTGTCCGATTTTCCTGGGGTCCTATCGGGTAATGATAACGAATATATTATTCGCAGCCACAAGTCGGGGAACGTCACAAAACCAATGTATCAAGCTGATACCCACGCAATGGTGCTTGTGACACTGAGGCCAAGAGATTATGATATTCTCACCGTGTATCCTGTTTATGCATTTGATGTGCTCAAAAAGTCGAAGTCCTGTGCCGCAGGAACAAAATCGCGACTTAAGGTTTCTGTGCTGGGGCTGCTCGATAAAATGACAGGAGCCGCAGCTATAATCGGATCAGATATATCAATGGTCCCGGGAAATGACCTTCGGTTTAATGTTACACTCAAGGCACTTGGAAGATTGGGCCTATGGATTTCTGACTTGGCAGAAAGGAGTATCACGGACAACTTCATGGTATTGATCCATGGGCTACCAGTGCCAGTTGAAACAGTGCAGCGAGGGAGAGATCGCGAAAGCTGTATTCTGTCAATTGATGTTCTAACTGCTTGGAAGAAAATGGGTTTGGATTCCGGACGGAGTAATGAAGTGGTTGTTCAGGTACTGATGATGTAGTGAAGTGTTGTCAACCACGCTCGAGGCTTGAATTTTAGCAGTTAACTAAGTAAGCTCACCCAATTGTAGAGTTTTGCGCGGCAATCAGACCCACACCCATGAACCGCGCTTATCGCGTTAATATTTTTCCCGGTGCAAAAAGCTCAATCGTTAATGATATCAATACTTGCTTCTCCATGTCAAAAACGGCACGATTATGATGCAGTCTTTCTTGTACAAGCCCCTTTCGAGGGATATATTTTCATTTTCATGTGCTTTATCTCGAAATGGAACCACAAGTCGGAAAGCTTCGCTCTGCCCTCCCAGATCAGTTCCCGGCGCCGTCCAACGAAGATGCATTACGCAAAGATACTTAGCCCGGATGGCCGAGGCAGAGGCGCAATGGGAGGGTTGGGCAAATGAAATTAGAGAAGGGAAAAGGCAGAGCTTTCTAAGCTTCATGGAGGAAAGAGGGCTGATTCATTCAGTTATTGGGGGGTAATCTCAATAGTTTCCTTATTTTTTTTTTTTTTTTTTTTTAATAGCTCTGACACACGTTGCTAACCGATTTATTCTATTCTTTTCCTCGTTTAGGGACCGCGATGCTTTGGATAAGATGATTACAAATAAACGAGTAGGGTTGTATGCCGGAATCGACCCTACTGCCCCATCAATGCATGTGGGACATATGCTTCCGTTTATGATTCTTGGATGGGCCTACGTACATGGGATGAAATCTGTCTGGCTTGTGAGTAACACCTGGTTTTTGAGGCCATACACCTGTTAGGAGCCATTTTTCAAAGGCTATTTTCAGTTTTCACCTCGGCTTTATTAACATGAGGTGATAGTTGGGTGGTTCTACCTCAAGGGTTGGAGATCCTACCGGGCGAACGACAGCACGACCCGTTCTTAGCAACGCTTCTCGAAAAGCCTACATCGCCAACATGCATATGCAACTAAAAAAACTCGGAGTTTCATTCGAAAGATACGGAGGCAAGCATGGTTACTCGTGGGAATGGGCTTGGAGACGAGCACTCGAGAACAATAATACCTGGTGGAATAAAGAAACGCTAATTGATGTCCTGGGTACTCTTGGGCAACACGCAAGGATAGGAACAATGCTAGGACGAGAACCGTAAGTTAAACCTCACCCAAGTTTGTTTTTTTTTTTTTTTTTTTTTTTTTTTTTTTTTTTTGTGCTATGTATCATGTCTGCTAACAGATATGGGAATAGGGTAAAAACGCGCCTTGAGAGCGGAAGTGGCATGTCCTTTACCGAATTTTGTTACCCGATAATGCAAGCATGGGATTGGTGGCACCTTTATCAGAAAGGAGTTATGATTCAAGTTGGAGGCTCTGATCAGTCTGGCAACATTCAACTCGGAATTGATACCATTAAGCAAGTCTTAAAAACTTCGCCGATCGAAACTAAACCAGGCGAAGACCCAGAATTATCAATGCCGTTTGGGCTTACAGTGCCATTGCTCACTACCTCGACGGGGGAAAAGATTGGTAAATCTGCCGGTAATTCGATATGGCTCGACAAGGATATGACGTCAACTTATGACCTTTACCAGGTGAGTATATATATACTGTTGCCTTTCTCGAGTGTATTTACAAGGCTACGGACTGACAGAAATAGTACTTTATGCGTCAACCTGATCAAGACATGGAGCGGCTACTAAAAATGTTTACGTTTCTTCCAACCTCCCGCATCCCCGAAATAATCGAGGAGCATAACAAGGCCCCATCCCGTCGGGTTGCTCAACACACTCTAGCGCAAGAATTTGTGGAGCTTGTACATGGTCCTAAGGAAGCTGAGGAAGCATCCAAGGCCCATAAAGCCATTTTCCAACCTCAGGGCTCAACATCAACCAAGTCAGACGCCAAGTCAATACCTTTATTGCCCTCTGGAATTCCGGAATATATCAATGCTGGAGTAAACAAAAAAGCCCCGCAGATGAATGCTTTTACCGCACCCACGCATCACCTAGTTCTACCTCGCTCTCTGGTTGTCGGACAATACTTCCACAAGATTCTCTACTCTGCTGGAATGGTCTCCTCCAAACAGGAAGGGCATCGAATTATTGTCAACAACGGAGCGTCCGTTGGCTGCATGCCCAGTGGTGCGGAGCAAATGGGTGATGCACTAAGTTATGTCCCTCTCAGAACATGGCCTGCTGATGTTACAGAAAAATTCCTCATTGACGGGAGCCTGCTGATTCTGCGAATCGGGAAATGGAGAGTTAAAATTATCAAAGTTATCAGTGATAAGGAATTCGAAGAACAGGGCTTGACTGTACCGCAGTCAGAACCGGAGAAAGAATCGATAGCCGAACAACAAAAAGACCGAGATCTGTTCGCGAAGAAACGCAGAATTGCTGGGCGACAAGTTCAACGGCCTGGTATTGCCGGAGGCTCTGCTGGCGGCCGGAAACCAAAGATTGTTTCACTCCAGGAATGGACTGACCAAAAGGAGAGAGAAGAAGAAGCAGAACTGGCGAAGGAGAAGGAGCAGCGACAGGCGTGGCCATGATACCTCATTTCTTCGTTGCTGATTTCATTTCGAGCGTTTTTCGTTATACACGGTGCATGCTGTACACTAGTTTTCTTTATTGGGTTACGGTTTTCCTTTAGTGTTTGGCGATCGGATGGCACTTTAGATCTCCCTGGGTCAAATCACCTTATGCTTTAACGCAGTTTTGTATAATAATACTACCTATATACCAATCTCACTTGTATTCTGTCTCCTTGTGCTTTCTCCGTGCTCTCCATAGAGTATCAGGTACAGTCGGTTCCAGGTACGTACCACTGAGGTGGACCGGATTGATTATGTAATGACTCGGAATGGAACATAGATATTACGACCTGTCACGTGCCGCGTCGCGCTCTACGCGTTTTCGTGTTCGTCTGATAAGATAAGCAAGCCCTGTTAATGGGAAATCCCAAGGGGGATTTTCCAACGTTCGTCCATCTACACACACCTAGCTGTTACTGTTCTCGTCCAGCTTCAATTTCTAGCACTGTCTCTCATTTACCTGCTATTATTATTGCACATTGATGTATTCCAATCTCCCCCTCCATTGGTTTCTTTAATTCCTTGTGAGAATGGGATCATCCGCCCAAACGACGCCTGCTCCCTCTCGCGTCCTCAAGCGGTCAACACCAAGTACACAGAACATGAACAAGACCCAAAAATCCATCTTGGGATTCTTCCAGCCTAAATCGTCTCCTTCGGCTCCATCAACCTCCCAGCGAAGTTCCACTCTCCCAGCATCTTCTCCGTCTGGAGCCAGTCCACTCAGCGAAACAACCACCAGCTCGGTGAGAGCCAAATTTTCGAAGCAGAGGCTAGATGATGATCAAAATATTACTCCAGTTCCGAGTAGTGATGCAATTGAACCTCCCGAAGAAGACACGCCGACCGCTGTGAGGAAAACATCTGCAGGGAACCATGAGTTCTCTACCTCTAACACATCCAGCAGACGGGTATGCTACCAATGTTCCCAGAAGTACCTGCTGTATTAGTTTCTTGAATGTCTGGACTAACTATTATCTAGGCGAGGACGGCGGTTAAAAGTTATGAAGAATCTGAGGACGAGGATGTTGTCCAGCCGGGGAGAAGAAACGCACGGGGGCGGTCTCAGAAGCGAAGAAGACCTGGGGATCTCAGTAGTGACGAAGAATGCTTTAAGCCCGATGAGGATGATGACGAGGATAAATACATAGATGGTATGACCATTGCGCCGTTAAGCATAAGTTTTAACGATTGAGCTGACCCATTGCAGATACTGACGACTTCGTTGTCCCAGACGATGAATCAGAAGAAGAATTGAAGTCATCTAGGAAACGAAAGCGTCCTTCAAAGGCACCGTCTAAGAAAGAATCCAGCAGCCCGCCACCTATTCCTGGTGATGACATGGACTTGGAGATCCCTCAGTGCACGTCTGCTTCCACCCAAAAGTGGCGCTATGACCCCGACAATGTAGAACCATACCAGCCTCGAAAAACCCTAGTCAAACCAGAGACACACTCCAGTAGCAAACAAAAAAAGGCCCATATGACGGAGCCAGAAAATCGATACCCATGGCTTGCTAATATTATGGATATGGATAAAAATCCACTTGGTCATCCTGACTATGATCCCCGTACTTTATACATCCCACCTCTAGCCTGGACCAAATTTTCGCCATTTGAAAAGCAGTATTGGGAGATCAAACAGAAATTCTGGGATACCATTGTATTTTTCAAAAAGGGGAAATTTTACGAGCTATATGAAAATGATGCCACTATAGGTCACCAACTTTTTGATCTCAAACTTACGGATAGAGTCAATATGCGTATGGTCGGAGTTCCCGAAATGAGCCTTGATCATTGGGCCAACCAATTCGTTGCAAAAGGATTCAAGATTGCTCGCGTGGACCAGTCGGAGTCTGCATTAAGCAAAGAAATGAGAGAACGTGAAGATAAAGGCAATAAGATGGGCAAAGCACAGAAGGAAGACAAGGTCATAAAACGAGAGCTAGCATGTGTTCTGACCACTGGAACCTTAGTGGAAGGGTCAATGATTCAGGGCGATATGTCCACATACTGCGTGGCAATCAAAGAGGCTATTATTGATGGCTTACCAGCCTTTGGTATATCGTTTGTCGATACAGCTACCGGACAGTTTTTCTTATCTCAGTTCGTTGACGATGTGGATATGACAAGGTTCGAGACCTTTGTTGCCCAGACCAGACCTCAGGAATTGTTACTTGAAAAATCTGCTATGTCTACCAAAGCCCTCAGAATATTGAAGAACAATACCGGCCCAACTACTCTCTGGAATTACCTGAAGCCTGGGAAGGAATTCTGGGAGGCTGATGTCACCGTTCGGGAACTTGACGCAGGTAGCTATTTCGTTTCGGAAGACAAAAACCATGCATCCGCCTGGCCGCAAGCATTGCAAGACGCTCGAGATAAAGATTTGGTCATGTCTGCTTTTGGGGCTCTTTTACAGTACCTTGAAATGCTAAAAACTGGACGAGACCTCATCACCATAGGAAATTTCACTTGGTACGATCCAATTAAGAAAGCATCCAGTCTCGTACTGGACGGGCAGACCCTAATCAACCTTGAAATATTCGCAAACACATACGATGGCAGCTCGGAAGGAACACTGTTTCAACTACTCAACCGCTGTGTTACGCCGTTTGGGAAGCGGTTGTTTAAACAATGGGTTTGCCATCCCCTGATGGATATCAAGAAGATCAATGCCCGGCTTGACGCTGTTGAGTCCCTGAATGCAGATAGCACAGTGCGTGAGCAATTCTCGTCACAGTTGACCAAAATGCCGGATCTTGAACGGCTTATATCTCGAGTGCACGCTGGTACATGCAAAGCCCAAGACTTCGTACGTGTACTTGAGGGATTTGAACAAATCGAGTATACAATGGGTCTTCTGAAGGAAGCTGGGTCTGGTCATGGGTTAATCGGCCAATTGATCTCTGCCATGCCGGATCTCAACGGTCTCTTGAAATTCTGGGAGACGGCATTTGACCGCTCTAAGGCTAGAGAAAGTGATATCTTAGTCCCAGAGGAAGGCATTGAGGAAGAGTTTGACGCATCCAAAAAGAATATTGAACAATTGGAGGATGAATTAGAGCAGGTACTACAACGGACCAGGAGGGAGTTAAAATGTTCAACCATTGTTTTCAAGGATAATGGCAAAGAAATTTACCAACTCGAGGTTCCCATTAAGATCAAGAACATACCAAAATCCTGGGACCAAATGTCCGCCACGAAGCAGGTTAAGCGATATTACTTCCCTGAGCTAAGAGCATTGATTCGAAAACTACAGGAAGCTCGCGAGACACATGCTCAGGTTGTGAAGGGTGTTGCTGGCAGATTTTATGCTCGATTTGACAAAGATTACTCGAGCTGGCTTGCAGCTGTAAAGATAATCGCCCAGCTTGATTGTCTGATTGGATTAGCCAAAGCTTCCACTGCACTAGGACATCCGAGTTGTCGTCCTACGTTTGTCGATGATGAGCGCAGTGTACTTGATTTCCAAGAACTCCGCCACCCCTGTATGATGCCCAATGTTGGAGACTTCATTCCTAATGATGTCAAACTGGGAGGGGATACATCAAATATTAACCTTCTGACTGGCGCAAACGCAGCAGGAAAGTCTACAGTTTTGAGAATGGTCAGTTTAGCCCCTAAGCCCGATTTTATTACCCTCAACTTACCTCTATTAGACTTGCACGGCGGTTATCATGGCACAAATAGGTTGCTATGTCCCTTGTGAATATGCCCGCCTAACTCCGGTTGATCGCATTATGTCCAGGCTTGGGGCTAATGACAACATATTTGCTGCTCAATCCACCTTCTTTGTCGAGCTTTCAGAGACCAAGAAAATTCTCTCTGAAGCAACTCCCCGTTCCTTGGTAATATTGGATGAACTAGGCCGTGGAACTAGCTCTTATGACGGTGTTGCCGTGGCACAAGCAGTACTTCACCATGTTGCTACTCATATAGGCGCTCTAGGTTTCTTTGCTACTCATTATCACTCACTCGCAGCTGAATTTGAGGGACACCCTGAAATTGCTGCTCGCAGAATGCGGATTCATGTCGACGATGCTGAAAGACGTGTGACTTTCCTCTACAAACTCGAAGATGGGGTCGCCGAAGGCAGTTTTGGAATGCACTGTGCCTCAATGTGCGGCATCCCATCCAAGGTGGTTGAAGGTGCAGAAGTCGCTGCGAAGCAGTGGGAACACACAAGTCGGATGAAGGAGAGTCTAGAGAAACGAAAAGGTGGTGGACTGATTGGCCTGGGCTGGTGGAGTGATGTTTCCTGGATCTTAAAGGAGTCTGCGCAGGCAACTGATGAGGCTACTCGGTCAAAAAATGGTGACCGTGGAGTTGAGATACTCCTCAAGGCCATTGAAGCGTTATAATCTTTACGGCACAAATACCCTTGCAGCGGTCAGAGTATCTATCTTTCATTGAATATCTGCCGTATACTATTTGGCGTGGATAGCAACGCTACGCCATTATTCATTCTAGCACTCGTGTGTATCATTACCGCCCAGTAATAGTTAAGCATAGATATACTCACATCTCCTAGATTCTATATAATAACTAGACCTTAATCCTCGACTTGTAAGGTTCCGCGGCTCCTTCGATTCACTGGTTCCAAGGAGCAGGATCGTAACCATCCATGTTAGTCACATACTCTTCTCCGGCCTTTACCCAGCCCTTAATGCCACCTTCAAGAATAAGGCTCTGAATACCGCTTTCCCCTCGTTCCTGGAGATAGTCAGCAAACCAGCCTGCCGCCCGGGGCCCTCGGCCATTGCATGAACCTGTTGTATATATCAGCCAGCTATCATAGCCAAACGAAAGTAGCGTGTAAGTAGAGAGGGTATCTCACCACAGTAGAAAACGGCCTTTTTAATACCAGCCTGCTTGAGCAGTTTGTTTAGTGTTGGGCGCGATGCGTAGAAACTTTGGGCCGGTAGGTTGATAGAGCCACGTATTGTTCCGCCCTGGAGACAATGAGTGTGAGTATGAGTATGAGTATGAGAATAGAGTGTCTGTAAGGATATTGGTATCTAGCTAATAAGGCATGCCCAACTGGCTATGGAAGCCCGGTCGAGCCGTCGAGCCTTACCTCGTGGTCGACCCTGCGTACGTCAACTAGCACATAATCCAGCGGTCCATCGCTCCTTGATAGCCATCCAAGGACTTCAGTGCGGCTTACAGCCCCAGGAGTCGCCGTGGGGTTTGGAAAGGCAGCATGCCATGGTGCCTCTGTCGTTTGCTGGGTTGCCATGGCGAAGTAACTAGTAACTAATTTAGTTAGTTAACAGCCTGGCTTTGGCACAATAACTATATAAAGAAAATATCCAGCTCTTCTGGTAAAAGGAGGGGAGGCGTGGAATGAAGTTGAATGTTTACGAAGGAGATGGTGTTGACTGCTGCCTGAGGGGTTCGGGAGTCTACCTTCAACTGCGTCTATGGCTGATAGTCTTGGCTGGTGGTTAACTTAACTCGTTACTTAACTAGTTAGCTGGTGGGTAGTTAATTTGAGAGGCGTTCAAGAGGCTCGGAGATAGCTGCGTAGTAATAGAAAATCTGGTTTGATAAGAAACCTCTTGTATTTCGCTTATTGGAGCCTAAAGTAGCTAGGAGCCCCCGTGTTCAGGTAGTGAAAGAGAGGAAGTACAGCGTGATATGACTTCAGAGCACCATGACAAGAACACGCTTGACGAAGAGATACATTCCGGCCTGACCGATATACCCAGTCCTTGTCCAAGGCAGGCAGCCAATGTTGGTCAAAAAATAGTACTTAAACCCAATACCATAGTGGCAGCTCGTGAGAGATTATTGTTGCAAATCCTCAAGTAGTTCTGCGAAAGTTAACATGGAACTAAAGGGTCTCATCATCAACCTCAGAGTTCAGGGGGCTTCCAGTCGCAGTAGTCCCATTGCCGCTGGAGAACGCTCCTACTGCCCAAAGAGTGTTTAGTGATACATCTGAGTATGAATAGAGTGTTCCATCAATTATACCTTTGGCGAAATCTTCGTGAAGAGGCTCTTCCTTTACAAACACTTCACCCTTGATGGGAACCATCCTGTGTCTCGTTAGAAATGAGATACTATACAGGAGATATCATGACAAAAAAGGGGAACTTACGCCATGGGATCGGCCTTAACTCTCCCCCCGGCCTTTCCTTTTCCTCCTCTGGCCTTGGGAGCCTTGACGGGATTGGCCTGGGTTTCTTCATTGCCGTTTGACTCCTCATCAGTGGTAATGGTAGCACCTTTCCCCTTTGCGGAGGATTTACGGGGTTTGGTGACTTTGTCACTAGCCTACTCACGCATTAGAAACGTCTCCTAGCATCTAGTGTCTAAAGATGCATACCTTTTTCGGGCTACCGTTTGCAGGAGCAAGGGTACCATCTTCGGTCAAGGCAGACAGGATCTTACGTCTCGATTTGTTGAAGAGGACAGAAGCACTGGCGGCATTCTTAAAGCCAGCCTTTTCGGCCAATTTGTCATAGTCAACCTAGTGACGCGTAAGAATACGATATTAGCTATGTGTTTAGATCTTATGCAGATCGAATGTCATCAATGAAAATTGACGCGGTCATATAATATGGTCAAGCGGACCGAGCCTCTCCAAGGGCAATTTACCTTGATATTGTTCAGGCCATCGGTAGAGCAGAGAAGGCCCAGCATGAAGGTGCGCTGTTCACCAGCAGTCAAGGTGTCCATGATGATTTGAAGGATAGATAAGTAAATTCTGATGATATTAGATCCCAAGATTGTGGAACTAAATCAGAAAATATGCCTAGAAGCAGAGGGTTATCTGTGAGTTGTGGGATTCAGGAGCACTGTGGAATGTTGTTTTCATAGGAAAACGCGTTTGTAAATAAATAATAAAAAAGGAGTGCAACGCAATATTAGAAATGTTATGGGCAAGAAAACACTTTCTCGGCAGAGGATCTCAGGTTATTGCGCAGCATGCAGTTGAACAGAAGGTAGTCTGAGAGCAGATAGTATTGTCATATTAACCAAGGGTAGAGTGAAAGAGAAGAGCACCTACTTATGGTCCCTTACCTTCCAATAAATAGATATTGGTAAGCTGATGGTGCAGAAGGTGCAGTTTATTATCTTGCAGAAAATCAAGATATAAGCGTTGGATGAGAAGAGACTGAAGAAAAGCTGAAGAAACTGTGAGGGTGTTTATAAGAAGAAGGTAGTGAAAAGAAGAATGAAGAGAATTGTAAAAAAGCCCCTTTTATATTGCGGAAGTTGCCTACCAGAAACCCTCGAAACCCTTGAAGCTTAGATTGAGAACAAAGGAAGAAACACAGTATTAATCTAGCTGGATATCGATTATGAGCAAACTACTGCTGGTAATCAAGCTAGATTTCAGCAAAGGTAAAATGGCAGGGCGGGGTGCTTGCTCTGGATGGAAGCACAACGAGGGGAGGGTATCATGCACTATGACCGGGTATCCAGAACGCATTCGAGGTTGAAAGGATGGTACTATCAGTGGCCTTATTGTCCATTGAAATAAAAACCGGAAATTATTCCTAGAAATTGCTTTATGGTGCCCGGTTGCTCTTAATTAAGGTAAAGACTTGCTCCCATATCTCGGGGAGAAATCTCGGGGTTGATCTTGCTGGCCGGCTCTTCTCAGGTGCAAAAAATAGCACTTGATCTCTTCCCTTCCACCATGGCCTAGGCTGTGGATTAATGTTCATAAAGCTCACTGGGCGAACCATTGACGTGCGAGGGACTAGGTCTGATATTGAGACGAGCGTTCGCTTTGGGTAGAAGTTAAACTTCATAGTCTCAACATTCAATGTTGCATTACGTGGGATTTTATTGAGGTACGCTCGTAGGTGTTCCCTTGACTGCTGGGTAAAGACTGGTAGGGAAAGGTACACTTGGTTCACGAAAGGAGCGGCTGTAAAGGAGACAAAGAGCATCGGTATTGCCCCACCAAGGACAACTGCTCAACATAATTATTAACAATGGCATTATTGATTTTTGGAAAGACGGTATACTCACTTGCAGGAGCTATATACCATGGGAATTCAGCCGCATAGAAAGCTGGGGCCACCACGGTGCAGGAAACGACGAATATTAGGATAGTGGTGACTCGCATCAGCCCGATAAAAGCAATCTTCCCGGTACCGGCATGATATATCACTACCTGTTTCGGCTTTAGGCGGGTCGCTATATAGGACGTCAGCTTATATAGCTTGGAGCGGATTGAGTGCAGGATGCAGACTAACCTCTGTTTTGAGCTGGTTGTGTTTTGGCTTGAGGATATCGAAGCGGCGCACGCAATGGGCCATTCTGAGCACTGGCTGTTGACTTTTTTAACGGGGCCGGCGAACTAGAAAGAGCATCTGTAGCTTTCTGGCGTATCGGTACTCTGATGGTGATATCTCGGTGAATCCAGGAGCTTGACCGAAAGCTAAGACTGTGACGAGACCGAAGGCAAAACATAACTCAAAATATAGGACAAGTTGAGGATAAAAGTTTCCCTCTAGGTGATAGTAGAATACTCGAGAATTGAAGCATCAATGGCAGTAGAAACGAGGTACAGTAAAACGTTTCTCGTCTCTCATTTCTCTTTGCGCGCCTAAGCGTCCAAAATACTATATTCACGTGACATTAAAGTTTCTGGATAAGCGCCGAGCCGCCAGGGCTTGGCAGGGCCTGATTTCCTTTCGGGATTAATTTCGATGGGTTACCATCCATGTTGGTTTTGGTTTATCAGGTGCTCGGAAGGGCATCAAAGGAAGGCAACGGTAGGACAGTACTCAGTCCCCACGATACGGGACTGCGGAGATTCGTTCTAGTCGGCCTGCCCTCATGTATATTTATATCTAGGTAGGCATTGGATATCCCATTCGACGCCATCTGGCATATTGGGCTGATTTTGTTTAACAGGTTACCATGACATGATCTATCACGAAGCTACGATTTCTTGTTGCACGACTTACGATGACCATGGCAGTGTCAGAGCGGCCAGCTCTTGCCCTTTTAACGATGCTATTATACCTCCCGTTCCTCGGTTTGCTCTTCTCACCAGTTAATTGCTATACGCCCGTATCCGATACTACTTTACGGTCGTTGCCTCGTCCAGGAAGCGACTTCGATATACACAATGGCGCAATCCTTGCTCCAATCTTACGGCCTAGGGTGCCTGGGACCCCAGGATCAATTGCTGTACTTGAACACTTCGTGAAATTCTTCAAAGAGAATTTACCAGATTGGAGGCTCGAGTTTCAGAACTCCACTTCAAAAACCCCAGTAACCGGTGATAAGCAGATCCCGTTCATCAATTTGATAGCTATTCGCGATCCCCCATTTGCCAAAGTTGGCGATGTCAGTAGGTTGACTCTGGCTGCTCATTATGACAGCAAATTCACTCCGGAAGGGTTTATTGGGGCGATAGACAGCGCTGCACCGTGTGCGATGCTACTACATGCCGTAAGAAGCATTGATGCGGCATTGACAAAAAAGTGGAAGGCAATGCAATTGAGTCCCACTGATAATCTTGACATCGATGCGCATCAGGGGATCCAAATTTTTCTGTTAGACGGTGAAGAGGCATTTGGCGAGTGGACTGCTACAGATTCCCTTTATGGAGCTCGATCTCTAGCTGAACACATGGAACATGACTATTATCCTGCTCTCTCCACGTTCAAGACGTCATTATCAGCCATAAGGCTGTTTGTCCTCTTCGACCTACTAGGGAGCAAAGATCCCATCATGCCATCTTTCTTTGCAACCACCCACTGGGCGTATAAGCATCTAGCTCAGCTCGAACAACGACTTCGTACACTTGGGCTATTCAAATCAGATCCAGACCCTAAGAAGGGTGCTCCGAAGGCATGGTTTACTGAGGGAAACAGACCATCAGACAGGAAATTCCTGTCCTTTATCTCGGATGACCATATACCATTCATGCAGCGGGGAGTTGAGATCCTCCACCTGATACCTTGGCCATTCCCGAGAGGTATATGGCACACAATGGCGGACAACGCAGACAATCTTGACCCTCCTACTGTTGAAGACTGGAGCACCCTTATCACTGCATTTGCTGCCGAATGGATGGATCTCGAGGGATTTTTCGACACGAAAAAATCAAAACAAACTAGACTAGACGTGGAAGACAAGTCGGAGCTGTAAGCCATTTCATGTTACATTTAGAAGTTTGTTAATATTGACATGGCGACCTTCCTTACTCTGGGTATCTCTGTCTCTGCCTTCAAGTGTCTCCCCGTCAAAATCTGATATGCATATTATTTTCAAGGATTAACAACGCCATGGACTAATAATTCTTTCCTAGCATTTAGGGGACCGTGACGGGATATTTTCATTTATCAGGCAGTTTTTCCCCTTTGTTTTAGATCCTTCAAGGAGAGCTTCAACCTCCGGCTTGATATCCACAGCATTTATGGCGCTCAACTCATCCAGGAAATATTTTCGGGAAGGCACTTTTTTATTTTTATTTTTCTCAAGAAACAGCCCAGTCTCGGGCGTTGAACCGATTAATCACAATCCTTATAAATAATATTCACCTAATTGGTCCAGATATTGACAAATGCTGCAAGTTGCAGATAAAAGTCGTTGTGTTGTTATACTCTATTACACGGTTGCTATCTAGTCAGTCAGGGGATGTTGGAGACGGCCTTAAGGGCCAATCATCGGACACTATGTTCTAAAAATATGTACAACTGGGAGCTGCTTTCTTAGCAACAAAGGAAGAATACACTTCAAATACCGAGGAGGCTACCCAGCCAGAAGCCAGCGAGCCATGGTGCTCCCCAAAGCGGCGAGAGAGCCGATCTCAGCAATCCAGGACCAGGGCAAACACCACTCAGTCCCCATCCAATACCAAACGCAACGCAACCAACCACAAACCTCCAATCAATATCTGCTATTGTAGCAGTTGGTAGGCTGAATCGGTCAGCCAGAAGCGGTGGTTTCATACCATCTTCGTTGCCGTATTCAGTTTTCATATATAAATAAGACAAAAGACTGGGCCCGACACCGAATACCATGACAAGCGCAAGAGATGGATCGAACTTGGAAGGATCAAACCAGTGGAAGAAACCAAGGACCTTCTCTGGATTCGCCATGCCAGTTATAAGCAAGCCTAGACCGAATTGGAGCCCTGCAATGCAGCTGTAGACCACGTTTGAATTGGTGTAACGGGGCAACAGAGCTGGAACTAGGAATGAATTGAATGCCTGGGAAATGGCAACGGTAGAGAACATGAATGCAACTTCGTCTATGGATGGGTAGACAGGCAAGTAAGCTGGGCGTCCATCTGGTGGAGGCGAGACCGTCGCCCCAATTCCAAGATTTGCAGTGACCAGTGCGGTGATAAAGAAGATTCCAGTTGCAATGAAAGACCGTGGTGATATTCGAGATATACCACAGAGCATATGTCCGGATGTGCATCCGTTACCATTCTAGATACGCGGGTTAGCTATGCTGCCCAGATCTAGTTGGTCTCTCAGCCGGACGGGACGCTGTGAAGCTAGCTACCTACCTTCGTTCCCCATCCAACCAGGAAACCAATTCCAGCGAGTGCAAGTGCAGCTCCCCATGTTGCCGGCGGAGTAGCATATGGAGGTAAGAGTGACGGTGCCAGCAGGTAGACCGGGACAATGCTCGATACCATTCCAAGTATCACAGGGACATTTTGTGTGTTGGGGTTTCCCACGCAGCCTGACAGGAGAGACGAGATACCGAACACCCGGCCATTGTTTTGCAGTAGCCCGTATGAGCCCTGGTATAAAAGCAGCGCCCCCAGGGACGTATTGATAGGCGTGAATGGCATCTTGAAGTTCAGGACAACTAAATGTTGACAGAGTTGTGATCCTTTGGCGCGATGCCACAGCCTCTTTAACTAAGCTGCCAGGCGCAGAACCGGCGTAGAACGAGGTATAAGAACCCGCCGCCATGCCCACCATCATGCAGGCTGACGGCGGGGAAGAGAGATTTCGTCCATTCACATCCATGGCCAATATGCCGGAAGCCTGGCAAGGGCCGTCTTCTTGCCAGCAGACAAAGCATCGGCGAGCGCTCCACTCAAGGCTCGGGATCCGCGGCTTGGTCCCCTAGCGCTGATGGCGACTGGCGGCCCATCTAGTTATACTTGCAGCTGCATATAAACTAGTTACCCCGGGGGGCTCTGTAGAGGAAGACAGAGGGCACACGACTAGCCAGTTGCCCATGCTCTGTAGTTGTGTCGTAGCGGTGCTGTCGGAAAGATTCAAGGGGGAGTGGCCAGCAGCATAGTTAGTTAGTTAACTAACTAACTAGTTAACTAGTCAAGGAACAAACACCAAACGACACTTGATTGCCTACCCAGTAACTAGTTGGCTAGACACAGCCGGGTACCAACAGCGCCTCAGTACTGTGATGGAAGAAGGATCGCACAAATCGAGGACGATCGAAAATCCCTTTGTAAAGCCCGAGAATAAGAGATGGAGTGTCTCGTTGCATCGATCCCTCGTTCGAAGCGTTTCACCTCCGCCGGCCAGGGCCAGGAAACGCCGTCGTGAAGGCCAAACGCCCCCGAGGGTCGCCGATGAAGATGATACGAAGCCCGAAGATCAGCCACAGAGCGAGTTGAAGGTCGATATCGCGGCTATCGAGGCTGGAAAAGAGGATGTTGAAGATCACCTCGAGGTCTTCTCCGCGCGCCTCCGGGCTTCGACGCGGCCTGAGCTGCCGCAGGTCCCGCGGCTGGCTCATTCGGCGTGGAGGGATCTCTATCAGAGGAACCAGCATGAAGACGGCAGGCATTTCGTCGTCCATCAGCATGATCATCCCATTGCTGGCCCGCACTACGATCTCAGGCTGCAGTTTTCACGGACCAGTTCGTTGAGCTTTGCCATCATGTATGGCCTGCCAGGGAATCCAAACAGCAAGCGACTGAGTAGAAATGCTACCGAGACAAGAGTGCACAACGTATGGGTACGTCGACATGCCATAGTACGCCGTTTGATCCGGAGAGACGTTTTATTGACGGATGAAGGTAGAATCACTTGATTGAATCTGCGTCTGCTGCATCGGGCAGCATGATAATCTGGGATACTGGCGAGTACTCTGTGCTTCCATATTACGGCAATGATGCCCTACAAACAGACAAATCCGATGCAAGCCTTTCTCCAGAGGAGCAGCCTACAGAAAGTGAAAAGCTCCGAAGGGCATTCCGTCAGGTAAATGGCCAAATAATCTTCATAAATGGAAAGTAACCACCGCGTTGCATCTCTAACGACGTCATTGCAGCGGAAAATTCGGCTGAGACTACACGGCACGCGACTGCCATCTAACTATACGGTAACTCTTCGACTTACACGGGACAATGATACACCAGGACAGCTGAAAACCCCATCAAGAAGAAGAAGAAGAAGAAGAAGAGGGGCAGGTAGGCAGAGACCCGAGTTGACTTCATCAGACAGCGAAGAGCACGAAGAGAGGCCATCTTCAGATCAACCTTCATCAAATATCTCGCCCTCGCATTCTGACCAGGAAGACGAAACCATACGCCAGACAAACGCGTATAGAGGGGCGACGAATTCAATCTCTTCCATCCACCAACGGACTTGGTACCTGACCTTGGACCGTGTCAATTCGGGATTTGATAGGCGTGTAGACGGCACCCGAGCAGTGCACTGGACCAGAAAAGAAGAAACGAGCCCCGGAAACGGAGCCAGTCCCCTGGGATTCGAGCCGTTCTTCGTCCGGGGACCAGACTTCGAGCGAAGTATCCTCACCGGAAGACTGGGCAGCGATGTTCTCCATGATGAGGCTGTTGTTGGCTTTCGCGGGAGGAAAGGATGGCGCCCCGTTCTCGAATAATCTAACTAACGAATTCCATCAATCACGGCGTTTACTCAAACCAACTCTCTTGACAGGAACTGGAGTTGTTCGTGGAGTTCTACTTTTAGAATTTTTCTGGCCTTCAAGCTCCAATCCAAAAACTTAGGAGCCGCCCAATCAGCCCTCCGCAATTAGTTATAAAAACAGCCCAAAGTCGACCCGTCCCTCTTCAAGACGTCGATCTCGGTCAAAAAAAGCCGGGGGTGGCTTCTTACACAATCAAAGAACGAGTTTCTATTAATGTTTCCCTCCCCGTTGCCAGTGGAGCTGCGCTCAACCACGTGTGAATACAAGTGACCGCTATTTGGGCTTGGGTTGGAGGAGACGAAGGGAAAGTACGAAGTACGAGTTGGATGGAGTCAAGTATCTGAGAGACGGAACAGCCTTCTTGTCAAAAGAACAGAGTACGGAGTACATGCGCTCTCTGGCCAGCCATGTAACCAGAGGGCTTCTTATCTGGCCTGCATTATTACTTGATGCAACCTCCTTCATGAGGTGGTGTTGCTGTGGCAGGGATAGTTAAGCTCCTCCTGCCCCCATATGCGGGACCCTAAAGTTCGCCTTACCAACAACTCCTCGCGGAGTTGGATGGTGCTTGCGCTATGATGGACATTACCCTTGCTACACATGCACAGTTTCTACATCTTCATTCGCTTGCTTTCGGAGGGCAGGATAATCTGGGCCTTACTTGGTGCGAGAGTGGAGAGCTTCATCTCGTGAAATGCTCCCCGAGATAACGAAAATGAAAGCACTGCGATCGGGTATTGCGACTATGTCGGTACTTAAATAGCAGGAAGATTTCCTCAGGAATAAGATAGTTCCTCTGCCAGCCTAATCTCGCCTGGTTAGTGAAGATGTTCTATAAACTCTCTCTTTTGGCGCTTTGCGCTACCACGGCTACTGCATCTTATGGAAGCAATTTGAACTACCGCAGCCCTTCGCTTCATCATCCGTCCCTCGGTATTTCTGTACCCAAGGTCCTGAAGAGAACCGACCCGGCTATTGAGTTCGCGCCCGAAAAATTGAACTTCACTCACGGTGTAGCGTCTGGAGACCCTTATGCCACCTCCGTCATCCTATGGACGAGATGTTCTCCACAATTTGACGATGTTAATGATAACAGCACCGTATCTGGTGATGTGCCACTTTACAACCCTGTTCCAGTTCACAAAGACACAGATGAACATAAACCCGTCTCCAAGGCTCCTATTTGCTTAGAATTCAAGGTTGCCACGGATGAGAAGTTCAAGAAGGTCATTGAGAAGGGCACTGTCTATACCAGTTCCGATGTCGATTATACTGTCAAGGTAAGCGGGTTCTATATCTTTTACGTATATAGTGTTATCTATGAAGTAAGATTTTGACACATACAACAGGTTGAAGCCACGAAACTAAAGCCGTTCACCGAATACTACTACCAATTCAACATCTGTGACTCTGACAAGAAGAGTCCAATTGGACGCACCAAGACTGCGCCAGCTGAGGATGACCTGGTGGAGGATATCTCCCTTGCCGTCTACTCTTGTAGCAACTACCGTAAGTTTGACCACCATTACTGTAAAAATTTTCAAATATTTAACTATTTCAATAGCCTTTGGCTTCTTCAACGCCTACGGGAATCCAGTGCGAAAGGATTCCGTTGACTACGTGCTTCACCTTGGGTATGCCTCGTTGATTATATCTTGTTTGCTAGATCAACTCACTAACTCAATTAATTTTGCTGGTTCTAAGTGATTACATCTATGAATACCAGGATGGTCACTAGTAAGTCACAATCGCCCATAAATGTTACTCCATGGGCATTATAGCTTACAGTTGACAACAGTGGCTCTGGAAAAGACATTGGACGAGTTCCATTGCCTGACCGTGATATCTTCACTCTCTATGATTACCGCAAGCGTCATGCCACCTATAGAACTGATCTTGACTTGCTTGCCAGTCACCAGCGCTTCCCTTGGATTCCAGTTTGGGATGACCATGGTACGGTTTAATATATAAGAAATTTGGCTGTCAGAATGATCCATTAACAATACCTGCTAGAGGTCGCCGATAACACCTACCGTGATGGGTCATCTAAGCTTAACAACACGGAGGAGTCCTTCGTTGCGGACGGTGGAATCAGTACTGACCAGAGAAAGATGAACGCTGTCCGTGCTTACTTTGAATGGATGCCTATCAGGTCTGTTATATTCGCCTGTATTTTGATATCATTCCACTAACCTTCTGGCAACCAGACAAGTGGAAATGGATGACAACCTCCGTATTTGGCGCAACTTCCAGCTCGGTTCCCTTGTTGATGTTATCATGCTTGATACCCGTGTGTATGATCGATCTATTACCGACCTAACGTGGAATAAGGGTTACGTTAGCCAACTTCGCGGTGATGCTAGCCGCAGTTTGATGGGCTCTCGTCAGGAAAATTGGTTCTACCGTAACCTCATCGAGTCTGCCGAGCGAGGCGCTAAGTGGCGTGTCATCGGCAGCCAGGTCGGTACGTAACACGCCAGCTAATTAACATATACTCGTGTAATCTGACAGCTAATGGTGTCTCGATGCAGTGTTCTCCCACATTAACGAGTCTGCTGCCTTTGGTGCTGCCCGTAACCTCAACAATGATGCCTGGAGCGGTTATCAAGCAAATAGAAACCGCACGTTCAAGACCCTCTACGATCACAAAATTCCAAACAACATCATGATTGCAGGTGACAGCCATGCCAACTGGGTCAGTGATCTTGTCTGGCTTGATGAGGTCCCATATGATCCAAAGACCGGCGAGGGTGCCATTGGTGTCGAGTTTGCCGGGTCTGCCATCTCTTCTCCATCTCCTGCTGGCAGTAAAATAAACCTTAAGAACTCGATTGAGAAGTCCAAGCTACTCGCGACCACCAACAAGGTCCTGCAGTGGTCTGAACTGTACTACCGTGGCTACTTCGAGCTGCACTTCAACCAGAAGGAAGTCCAGGCTCGGTTCTTTGGAACCCCCCATATCCGTGACCGAAACCCAGATGAGATCTCGCTGGCCAACTTCACTGTCAAGGCGGGAGCCAACCGCCTTGACCGCGGCAAGGTAGGTGTTCCTGGCGGTGGCGTGGTAGAGAACGGATGGCTCAAGGGTGGAAAAGTTGTTCAGACCAACCTGACCAACAACACTGAGAGCGGAATGTGGCACATCAACAAGTAAATATAGTCAGTTATTCATTACGCAGCGTACATCAAAAAATAAACAAGCATAATGTACATATCCTTGGCCTTGCTTGCTTTTTCCCCGGTCCTGAAGTAAACTACCATTACAATATACCACTTTCAGCATGCATCGATGTTATCCCTGGCCCCAGGCAAAAAAGAATTAATTTATTACTGATAGCTCTGTCACTATAGAGACTGTGTTTAGGAGTTACCTAGCTACTCCTTAGAAAAGGCCCAATCATTGTATCACCAGAAACTCGATTCAAAACCCTCCAGTGGACCTCATTGAATCGGTCGATAGAAGATCCGTGATAATTGCTTTTTGATAACTAGGTAGCAACAAACAAGACTTACGAATGTTCCGGCCGTCAAGGAAGAACCACATCTTTTTAAGCAATTTACTAACCGGCCAACTAGACGAGCCACGGGCCGGACCCTGAGCCCGTTCCCCAGGTCTCAAAGGACGTTGGTCCGTCTCGCTTGCATCTCAGAGTCCGTCACAGCACCATCCATGCCGACGAAGAGGATCGCGGGAGAGGCCTTCGTGCCCCTCTGCGCCTCTCACAGCACATCGACATGGATCACACCAGACAGAGATGGAAGAGATGAGGATGGCTAACCTGTTAGGTAGCTGGTTTTGGAGCTGTGAGCTAGCATGCAGCAAGCTGTGAAGCCATCCAGGGCCGCAGCCAACCAAGATTCTCAGACTCGCGGCAGATCTCAGGATGCTTTAGCTGCATGGCCGTTCTATCGAATGTGCTGGTCTGATAGGGAATCCTTCCCTCCAGCTTCTGGGCCCTGCAAACTGGAGTTGTGCTGAGCTTATACATATATGCGGCGGACTCGCCTCTCCACTGCCTTTGAAATATCCTTTGGTTCTTCTGCTCTGCGTCTCTATCTTCATCCCTCACCCCTCCCCTTTTCTTCGATTACGGGAGTTACAACTTTTATATCTTTTTGTTCCACTATCCATCATATTCTCACACTGTATCCGCAAAAGGAGGCGGTGGTTGACGTGTTTGAAGAGGATGGGAGGGCTCCGTTAAGCAGCCACATAACTCGAGCCAAAGGAGTCCACTATTTGGCCTTGGAAGATTTTCCTGTACACAGTATCTCTGGCTGTGAATGAGGAAATATGGCAGACTACTCTGTACGCAGAATACACAATTTGTCGATTGCGATTGGCATTTCCGGAACTTGCCTCACTGCAGTGGCATCAATTCCAGCCATCCGCGCAGTCATTTCTCGATACCAGCTGAACAAGGAGAAGGACCTGTATCAGTCTCTATGTCAGCTGTACCAAGATGAGGACGGACATGCTACCGAATTATCCTCCGAAGCATTTTCGGACAGGTTCCAGCGAAGCTTGATCGCATTGGCCTCGCTCACAGGCGTCCTTGCATCTCTGGCCATTGCCGTATTGGATACTGATGGCCACGGAGTCTACAGCCGACCGATCATACTGCAATGGCTGATTTTTACTGTCTGGGTAAGTGGACAACCAGTATTTACCATACACTGTAACTATATATATATACTTGAGTACCAAATATCGATTCTGACATACAATTTGATTCAGGGGATGCTCTTAATACAGGCAGCTGCACTGAGTGTTGAGCCTTTCTCAACCAAAAGATATGAATTAGGCCTGTATAAGGCCGTCTCCTGCTGCTTCCTTTTATTTGTTCTGAGTGGTCAACTGTGGTCCATCAAATCGATGGATGGATGGCAATACCTCTCCTCTCCTCATGGCATCGTCCTTCTGGTTCAGATATTAGCCGGGCTTTCCAGTTGCTGTGCCTCAGTCTCTTTGCCTCGCCGTCCTGAGCTGTATTTGGACGGGAAGCCTGTGGATCATCAGTTTACTGGCACCTTCTTCGGCCGCATTTCCTTCTCCTGGGCAGGACCTTTACTTAAATTCGCTATCAAGAACCAGACTTTAGAAATAGATGACCTCCCAGCGCTCGACTATGCAACCCGGTCTATGAACTTGCGAGATGTTTTTGACAAGGCAAAAAAGCCTGGTGAGAAACTCTGGAGGACGCTTGTACGAGTATACGCTTCTTCTTTGATTAGCCAGGCCCTCCTAGTTGTCTGCACGTCAATTTTTAACTTTGCACCTCAGTATTGCCTGTTGAAAATACTGCGTTCTCTTGAGAGCCGCAATTCTGTTTCGTGGCATCCCCTAGATGCCTGGGTTTGGGTATTTGCTCTCGGAGGCTCCATCCTCCTTTCGTCAACGGTCGAATCTTGGCTGTATTGGGTTGCACAATACCAGCTAGGTATTCCAGTATATGAGCAGCTCTCCGCGGTCATCTTTGCGAAGGCAATAAGGCGGAAGGATGTCAAGGGCCGACAGCAGGTCAATGGACAATCTGAGCAAGGAGACAAACAGGACCATCCCCAGGGACCATTTGAGGAAGATGGTGAAGATGACAGGAAGACCAGACAAGCCACTATCAACCATATAGCCGTGGACGCCACCCGAATTGCCGATTTCGCGGCCTACAACTGTATCATTATTCTCATCATTGTCAAGCTGACTATTACAATCATATTTCTTAACGGTTTGATTGGCTGGAAAGCTCTTGGTGCTGGACTACTTGTGTCAATGGTCATAACTCCTATGAATATTTACACGGCCAAGAGATATAACTCGTCACAAAATACCCTGATGGACCACCGTGACCGTAAAATGGGAGTGGTTGCAGAAGCCCTCCAGGGTATCCGTCAGATTAAATTTTCTGCCTTGGAGAGCCAATGGGAGCGGAAAATATTCGCTGTGAGGGAAGCTGAGCTAAGTGCTCAATGGCAAACATTTATCTGTGAAATATTCCTGGTCACTATCTGGATAATTGGCCCTGTTATGCTCTCGGCCGTATCCTTAGGAGTTTATACCATTTTATACGGCTCATTGTCTCCTTCGATTGCGTTTACCACTATTTCGGTGTTCACAGCCATGGAGTTTTCCCTAGCGGTTCTGCCAGAATTGATTGCAGACTTTATAGAAGGATTTGTTAGCACGGAACGAATAGGAAAATACCTCGAGTCATCAGAAAGGATTCCAACAATAATTCCAAGTGAACATATCTCGTTTGAAAAATCCACCGTGGCGTGGCCTACGGAGAACATTGATTACAAGGCCGAACGGTTCACGCTTCAGGATTTGAACATCAACTTCCCATCAAAGGGGCTAAGCGTGATATCAGGGAAGACTGGCTCTGGAAAGAGTTTACTTCTTGCTGCTATCCTGGGCGAAGCTGACGTACTCGAGGGTGTTATTCGAGCCCCTGTTCCACCTCCACTAGAGGACAGGTTTGACAGTAAGGCCACGAAGGCCAACTGGATAATTGACTCTGCTACTGCGTTTGTTGCACAGGTTCCATGGATTGAGAATGCAACTATTAAGGAGAATATATTGTTCGGTCTCCCTCTTGACAAAGAAAGATATGAGAAAGTCTTATTTGCCTGTGCATTAGAGAAGGACTTTGAAATGCTTCCAGATGGAGAACTCACAGATATTGGAGCAAATGGTATCAATCTCAGCGGGGGCCAAAAATGGAGAATATCATTTGCACGAGCGTTATATTCTCGTGCGGGAATACTTATCATGGACGATATATTTAGCGCCCTTGATGCTCACACAGGACGACATCTGCATATCTATGCCTTAACAGGCGAACTATCCGAAGGACGGACAAGAATTCTCGTTACCCATCACGTCGGACTTTGTTTGCCGCAGGCTGATTACGCAGTCCACCTCGAAAATGGTGCTATCAAATACGCCGGAACGCTCGTCGAGCTTCGACGAACAGGAACCTTGAGTGAGATCCTTGCAGCAGAGGATACTAAGCAGGAGGCAAAGAAATCCTCCCCGTCACCGGCTCTTCATAAACAATCTGCTGAAGGTGGCTCCGCTAATGCTCAAACAGGTGTTCAGGGACAAACAAAGGAACCACCAAGGAAATTCCAGCAGGAGGAAGGTCGTGAGATTGGTGCCGTGAAATTGATCAACTACGTGAAATATCTACAGAACGGAGGAGGGCTGCCATTTTGGACTGTCGTGATGTTTCTGTTCACCCTTTTTGCAACCTTGGGAGTACTCCGCGTAAGTTGACCTTCCAAGCGATAACTTTCCTCTGTCATAACGCTTACAATCCTGTCTGATGGTCTATAGTCATGGTGGGTTAGTATTTGGACCAGATCCGTGGAAGAGATGGCAGAGCAAAAACTAGATATCATGTTCCATGTCACCAACCGCATCTTGACTCCAAAAGAGCTGCCCTCTGATAAGTTATGGTTTTATCTTGGTATATATGTAGCACTGTCAGTGCTATCATGTGTGGTCGGGTCTCTTCGATACGCAGCTTTCTTATATTCATGCATTCAGACATCACGGAACATATTCAGGAAGCTTACATATACCATCCTTCGGACTCCTCTACGATGGCTCGATACTGTTCCGCTCGGTAGAATCCTCAACAGGTTCACTTCAGATTTCAATCAGATTGATTCCAAGCTTCCATTTGATTTATCCGGCATGGTACAAAATATTCTACAAATCCTTGGAATTATAGCCGCAGGTGTACTCGTCTCACCGTTTCTAATCATCTTCGCCATGATCTTACTTTTGCTATGTTTCCATTATTCCAACTTATTCCTTCAAGGAGCTCGCGAGATCAAGCGCCTCGAGAGCAATGCAAAAAGTCCAATATTCGAGCAATTCGGTTCTGCCCTTATAGGATTAGGGACGATTCGCGCATTCAGCAAAGGACAAGCTTACATCGAACGCATGTATGCTAAGATTGACCGCCATGCCCAGGCTTACTGGAACCTATGGCTGTTTAACCGCTGGCTTGGTTTCCGCATGAGTGTCATTGGAGCGGCGTTTGCTAGTGCTACTGCAGCTTTTATTGTAAGTCTCAGTTCAATTGACGCATCTCTTGCTGGGTTTGCTCTTAGTTTTTCTCTTCAATATACATCCGCAGTTACCTGGATGTTGAGAAAATATGCCAACGTTGAGTTGGAGATGAACTCAGTGGAGAGAGTATTTGAGTATTCTGATCTCGAGATCGAGAATCAAGACGGCCTAGATGCTCCAGCAGCATGGCCAACGGAGGGGCGATTGGAAGTCTCAGACCTTGTTGTTGCATATGCTCCGGAGCTCCCTCCTGTTTTGAAAGGACTGTCATTCACAGTTGAAAAAAACCAACGAGTCGGGATAGTCGGTCGGACCGGCGCAGGCAAGTCTTCCCTAACGTTAGCCCTCTTCCGTTTCCTAGAGGCTCGAGAAGGGTCTATTCATATAGATGGAGTTGATGTGTCCAAGATTAAACTTGCACATCTGCGGAGCCGTCTTGCCATTATTCCACAAGACCCCGTTCTATTTTCTGGAACCATTCGCTCAAATCTCGATCCATTCGATGAGTATTCTGATTCCGAACTTCAAAATGCCTTGGAACGTGTTCATTTGGTCCCTCCAGCCGATAAAATGTCGTCAATCTCTTCTATTGAGGCTCCAGAAACACCCACCGAATCCGGTGTAAGCACGCCCACTGCCGTTGAATCCAGCGCTTCCAGTACCTTAGCTAGCAGGGCTGGTACGAACACCAATATCTTCAGGAATTTGAATTCTAGTATATCTGAGGGTGGCCTTAACCTTTCTCAAGGTCAACGCCAGTTGCTTTGCCTGGCACGAGCCATTGTATCCCGGCCGAAGATCATGGTTCTTGACGAGGCTACTTCTGCAGTTGACATGGAGACTGATGCGCTTATACAGCAGTCTATCCGGTCCGAATTTGGCCGTAACTCAACAACCTTACTGGTCATTGCCCATCGTCTGAGTACTATCGCAGATTTCGATCGTATTCTGGTTTTAGATGCCGGAAAGGCGGTTGAGTTTGGTACACCAAAGGACCTGATGAATATTGAAAACGGCGTATTCAAGAGCCTTGTGCATAATAGTGGTGAACGAGAGGCACTAGAGAGTATTATTCTGGCCTAGTCTAAAAGTGGTATGCCCCTATAAACGTTGTTTTGAGCCTTTAAGATGCAAGACTGGTTGTATAAAATTTGTTAGCAGGCCATCTAGTTGATTTAAAGCTAGCTAGTTCTCTTCTTTCACCTCTTCCATCTCTCTACATTCTTTTCTTAGGGCTAATAGCTTGAGGTGGGAGACCATGTTTCCTATATCAGAATATTCTAAGACATCTATAAAGATCAAGGTCTACATCTTCTCCTTGTTCCATGCATTCATACATATGTATATTCCACCATTATATTGATAGACACTAGGCATCTATCTATTTGGCCCGCATAGTGGCATAGTCATCCAATAGCTTTTTCGACTGTTCTTCAACCGTGTTCATTGCCAACCTCCACATCCGTGGTCCGACACTGATTCTTGCAATCCCAATATCGGCCAATTCCTGGACCGTCAGTCCACCAGGGAGAAGGCTAACATTTAGCATTCCACCAAACTCCTTCGTGAGTCTCTCAACGTCTGCACGGGACAGGCCACCCCATACGAAAACAGTAGTGGCACCAGCCTCGAGGAAAGCCTTGCCCCTCACAATGGCATCTTCCAGATCCTTGTGCAACAGAACAGCGTCGGTGCGAGCATTGAGGACAAAATTCGGAACTCCCGCCTTGACGGCAGCAGCCATGACACGGCGGACACGGTCAACGGCAACATCAAGGGGGAAGAGCTTGCCGGTCTCGTTGTCCTTATCTTCCAAGTTGCATCCCGAAGCACCTGCAGCAATGACTGATTCAATGGACTCCTCTAGGCGGGAGCCGTATCCGTCTTGCATATCCACGGAAAGGGGCTTGTTGAATTCGGCTGCGACAGAGGCGATTCGACGAGCCGATGCGAGGTTGGTCTCAAGGTCAAGATCGTCATCGCTTACTCCATGGACAGCAGCTACCGCGTAGCTTGCAGTTGCTAGAGCGGTGGAAGAAGGGTTGGCTGCCACTATGCGGGCGGAAGAAGCATCATAAACATTGGCGAACACGAGGGGCTTCCCTGGAATATGCAGATTTCGCAGCTGGAGAGCTTTGTCGTTTGCAGAAGACATTTTTGACGGTAACTGGCAGGTATATATATATATATATATATTTCGAGACACACAAACAAGCTTTAACAGGTAATTCCTTTCCGTGGCTGGAGATATTGATGTTTGTAGATGAGGATGTCTCGGGGGGAGCAGTGAGATGCTGATATATATAGCCACATCTTAACTCCGTTCGGCTTGTATGAAGCGGGGCAATTGACTGTCCGCCATACGGTGATAATGAGGTGTGCACTCCGCAGAGTCTTGTATTTGTAAGTGGTTACGAGAGCTCGAGGCGTAGTTCCATCAACGGATCGATTTTGTGTCGTATTCTGGCAGGCTAACGCCCGCATCTCCTTAAGGCGAGTAGCCGTTTGGCACCCGGGATGCCCAGCCCGAGTAGGCAATTCCTTCCGAGAGAGCCTATTAATCCTTCATGCAAGCTGGCGATTCTGTGAGGTTGTTGATATCATCGGCCTTGCATATCCAACATAGCCTAACTATGCAGGCTGTGGTAGGACAAGTCAGGGATAGTTAAAGTTGTGGCTCAGTGTTAGTTAACTTATCACCCTTTTAACTTGCTGGGTACTGTAACTAGCTAACCTCATAGCGGGCTACTCAAGCGCCAGCCCTGTCAGGAGAACTACATAGTAGTTACTTAGATATTTGGCTAAATGGGCCAAGGTAGACAGAATACAAATTTTCTGGGCTCCTAGAACTCAGGTCTAGTAGTTAAGGCATGTACAATTGACTGAAGACCGCTCCTGGCGCTCTTTCAGCGGGTTCCGCCGCTTCCTGATGCTGGGTTCAGGCGCTGCGAGTACAACCTTAATTACAGCACGCAGACAGGTGCGTCATATAACCTGATATCGGATGAGAAGTTCCCGTGCGGCTGGGAACAGGCCTCTTGCATATGCTAGATCCCGACTTCATCTTTCTGATACCCGAGAAGACACAAAACTGCTATTTGTTTGTCATCCCAAGCCGTTTTGTGTATATCCAATCGTCTAAAGGACGCAAGACCTATAGGCAGGGCTTAAGCTGATGAGAAGCCCTCGCACCATAGTTACCCGGCGGGGGAGATATTCGATGGCGGTTTTCTCTTAAGTCCTTTTGTTGACGCTGGTTCACGATAGTGGGCGTCACCGAAATGCACATATAACTGTATATGCGTGAGCGATCCGAATACCCATGTGGTCCTGGATCGTATCGGGGATGAATTTTTTTTCGCACCCCCTATTAAAGCTTCTCTTTTGTCGAATGTACTGCTTGCTCCGGGACCTTAAGCTCGGTTTTCTCATCCAGCCCATTGATGGGTGCAATATTAGCAGACTTTTCATTTGACACGCTTTCCTCGTCGTGTTTCCATTCAGGGAGCACAAGATTCATCTTCTTCTGGCCCGATGGCTGGGCTTCCATAGGCAAACTGTCTGCAGATGTCGTAAATATATCAGACCCCCAATTCGGCAGGTACATCCTGGCTAAGGGACGGATCATAGGAAAGGAAGCACATATGACGGCCAAGTTGACCTCCAGGTCGTTCCAAATCCAGAGATTATATCCAACCCCTATCAATGTGTCCACGTATCATCAGTACATCCGCCCATCGTATAGGAAGACAAATCAGAGTAAGGCAATGGGATGGGCTTACAAGTAGAATCATACGATACGTAAAGTATCACATAGGTATACGCAAGCCGCACTACAGACGCTGCACAAGCACTGTTGAATGAGGATGTTAGTGAAAGTTATTTAAGAGGGACACAGGCCACACGTACACAAGTCCAAAACTCATGAGGATGATAAGAACCACCTTCTCTCGACCCGGCAGGTGCATTTTAAATAGCGTTGGGATCGGGAGCATCCAGATAATAATGTCAGTGAGAACATGAGGGATCGAGCCACTGATGATGCGTGCGCCGTTATTGATACAATTCCGCCGTGTTGGGTCGTTCCAGTAATCTGATAAGGGCCTGGTAATCCAGATGTCAGAAGACACTAATGATGGTAATCGTTATCTGGGTTGAGAATACAACTTGCCTGCAAACGAACAGTAGGGGCAGCGCAGTTGCTGGAGAAAGATAAGCCGTAAGCTACTGCTTTTGATAGACAATTAGCAAGGGAGAAATACCGAGACCCCATGCCACTACAATGTGAAGCATAATCCAGGTACCCTGCCTAAGGGTTGTTGCGGTTCTAGAAAAGAACCGCAGGTACGAAACCAAAATCGAGGACTTGACCATTGTGGCAACTATCACAGACATGATCTGAGAACACCAGCTGGTCTATACATGACACCCGTTAGCAGCACTCTTCATTGAGAACGGAAATGGGAAAGTTCTTGGTGCAGACCAGACGGCACGTTACTCCCCACTGGGGTTTATTGTCCCAGATATGATAACCTGGACGTTACTGATTAGCGGCAATTCAGACGATTGAACGTAGGTCAAAATAACGCAGGAACCTTACCCCATCCGTGATAGACGCCAATAATATTGGAAACTGTGATTCCAGCTAAAAGAGGCTTTCCCATTGACAGGAAAATGTCAGTACCGAGCTGTACTCCCAATATGTAGAGGACATGCGTCTCTTGCGTCATACCAGCGTGCTCAGCATGAGCCAGTCATCCCAACCGGCATTCTTCTTGATTTTAACTCGGACGTATGTTCGTAGTGCCACAACAGCAGTCGAGATGGTAAAGCAACTGATGACGATAATCGTCAAATGAGGGCCCTGATGTTCAGGGTTGACATAATTTGGCTCTGGCCAACTTGCAATAACCTCTGGAGGAGCAACAAGCATGTCTGAGGAGGTTGAAAGATGCCGTAGGAAAAGCCTCAGTCGGTTGCTGCGTAGGTCGGTCGAAAGGGACCACATTGAAGATTTTAATCATGCCAGAAAGAAGGACAAAACAGAGCGGGATGACGACAGAAGGGCTTCCAAGGCTACCAAACGCCTATAGTAGGCAAAATAATTGCATATTCGAGCAGCCAAATGAGCCACATGCCATTTAAGTTCTGGAGATATGCGCCGTCACTGGTAAAGGCGGATGCAGCAGCTGTGCAGATGCTGAGATTGTACGTACGGAGTCGAGTTGTGATTTTTGAGACGAGAAACGCACGCTTAACTGATAATGGCGGTTCGAGAGCCGCCACACCTCTGAATGTCATACAAACAACCCGGCAAAGCCAAGCGCCTCGGCTGGAGGCATCTCCGACCTGCCGGACATGGTCATGGGTGGTGTAGGAGGTCGATGAATAATACAATACGAAGCTCAGTTCCTGGTAAAGGAGAAGCCTGGGTGCATCTAGACGGAGCTGCCTTGTCTGGAAATGCGTTGGTTTATAGAGTGTTCTCGCCCATCAGCATAAAGCATATGCTCCACGTTCAAAGCCTACGGAGTATCTCATTCCCAAGCTTGCTCCAGCTCCGCCAGAGTTGCTTGTCACGCCGCGGCAAGCTGACTTCGACAGAAGGTCGTGCAGCCATGTGTTTATCATCAGACGTCTTCCAAATCCTCAGCACTAGCGCCTCGCTAACATGAATATCTTGCATGGAGGATCCTTCTTGGTCGCCAGGCTGCTGATCGATCGCTTGGCTGGTGAGGCACAAAGTAAAATCCTCACTCTCACTCTCACTCTCACTCTGAGATAGACGGACGCAGTGATTGGACGCTCGGACTCGCTGTCAGGTTGTTGTCGTATTATTGAAACACGACCCTTTCTGCCTCTTAATCGGGGCTGGAATTCCCTGTACTTCTGGTCCTGGTCCCTGTGCACATCATTCCTCCCTTTCGCTCCCCATCATCCCCAGAAGCTGAGCTGTCCCTCGCCGGTTGTTTTGCTTCTTTTCTTCCGTCTGTTTTTGATATTAGCAGTTACTAAAGACAAGGTCCGTGCGGGGGCGGCGTAAAAAAGGGGCCCACTCAAGCGTTGTCACGTGGAAAAAAGGAAATAATACACGGCGCTCTTCTTTGGGGGATTATGCGAAGTGTTATGCAGTATATCAAACACTAGTCCCTCCAGCAGGGTTGCAAGGGGAGCAGGGGTTCCTTCTTATTCCTTGTCTATTCCTATAAGTATATCAAATATCGATGATACAGGGTGTGTTTGGAAGAGAGGGCGGGGAGCGGTGGGTTCCTGGCGTTCCGACAGGGGGGATCGGGGGTAATGCAGGAGTGACGGGATTGTGTAATATTATGGAGGAGGTCGAAGCACTGCGTACAGAGTACTCCGTATGCTAATAATGATAATGGAGTGAAGTGACTTGGTACTGGGAGATGGCGTCGATGCAGGGAGGGTGACGGTGGGAATTCTATGAAGTGAGACTGGCCGAGAGGGATGGGGGTACATCATGCTCATGCAGATATGATGATCCCTTGCACCTTTGTATGGAGCCTCTCGCTGGTCGTTTTCCCGCGAGTCCACGGCATAAGCGGCCTGAATATCACTCCGGTTCAGCCAGAGTAACATGCTGCCAACACATCAACAGCCCGGCCATTGGGCTAATTGATCATACCTGTTGCGCCGAAAACTCCCATCCCCACTACGACAGCAAAAATCATCCAGATCCTGATGTCCAGGGCGTTCAAGCGCTTCCTTAGCGTGGGGATTAGGGGTCTCGGGCGTACAACTAGGCCATCCACACTCAACGCCTCATGAGCTATCAAGCGAGACAAAAAGCCTTCCCAAGTAATGTTTTGATCAGAGAAACCTTAATCGCGTCCGTGAAGTAACAAGGTAGGTGTGCCGAACGCCGATATCATTCTCTCTCCAGGCCTTTTCCATGGAAACCACTTGAGCCCTCCGGAGAGGGAGAGTTTTCATGTCGAAGGGGAGCGAGCTGAATCATATTTCACACGCTAGGCTTTCATCATCTACAGAAGAAAAGAAAAATACAGCGTTAATACAATGAATAACAACACATCGCAAGCTAGATGGACTTTGCATGGACTCGAAATACTCACTTGAATAAAACTTGGAAGGATGAAGAAGAAAAAGAGAGAAGGAAATCAAAAAGCGAGGCTAGAAATTCGGTTTAAAAGGTTTTTGTTAGTGCGACCCGATTCGGCCTGAGCACGTGACCGTGAATGGACCCGGAACCCGACTGGACCTCCCGTCATGTTTTTCCTCTGTTGACGGGATGACCGTTTTTTTTTTTTTCGCCAGGGAGCAAGTAGCTGGCCTCGCTCCAGCAATTGCTTTTTTGTCTTTGGGGATAATCGACTAATTGGCCCTCTAGAAGGCGACGATGGTGCCGGCACTGCATTCTGCAGCTTGTCCGTCGCAATTGGGGAGGGTGCTTGCCCGCCGGCAGAGCTTCGTCGAGATATCAAATTACTTTCGACGTCGCGCAGCTCCACGACCGTCACACCTGAAATGCACTCTCCGGGGAGTTAGCCGGTTTTATTCCACAGAGAAAACGAACGAAGCTGCGAAGCTTCTCGGCCAATACTCTAAATCAAGTGAGAATCTGTCTCTCGATTGGTGTGAAGATGGCGATTCGGGTGCTAAGAATGTATGCTGACATGGATACTTGTAGTTGATTTCCCACCCGCCTCTACCACGTTTAGAGATCTATACAAAGAGCAGAACAATGGGCGGCCAGTCACGATTCACGGGTATATTGGCAAACGGAAGAAAATTGGCAAGAATATGACATTTGTCCGGTTGAGCGACCCTACCTTATCCCGAAGTGTCCAGATTGTGGTATCAAGCCCGCACTCTCTCAACGCTTTGAAATCAATTGAGCCGAACAGCGCCGTTGTCATTAGCGGAATTGTCAAATCAAAGGAAAGCCAGTCTCAGTTTCGTGAATCGGGCGACAAGAGTGAGCTTGACGGCGTGGAGATTGAGCTGCAAGATGTGCAATGTTTAAACGAGTTCCCAAGGGACATCATTATAACTCCTGACACAGTGTTTCCACCAAGTAAAAGGCATTTGCAGATCCGCAATGACCCTTCTCTTCGACAGTCATTGGCATTTAGGGCAAAGGCAAATGCAGCGTTGCGTCGAGCCCTGGAAGAATGTGAGCCACCATTCTTGGAGGTCGAGACTCCAATCTTGTTCAAGTCTACCCCTGAGGGTGCTCGGGAGTTTTTGGTTCCTACACGGAATCAGGGGCTAGCATACGCACTGCCGCAAAGTCCACAGCAATACAAACAGATGCTCATGGCGAGCGGCATCCCTCGATACTACCAATTTGCTCGATGCTTCCGAGACGAGGACCTCCGTGCCGATAGGCAGCCGGAGTTTACACAAGTGAGTGTAGTTTGTTAATTGTCCTTCAATAATACTAGAAGATAAAAAAAGTTAACTCACGCAATTGTCTAGCTCGATATGGAGATGTCGTTTGCCACGGCTGAAGATGTTATTACTACCACTGAAGCTTTAGTCAAGAAGCTATGGGCCTCCGTTATGCCTGAACCTCTTGGGCCAGAACCATTCCCTCGCATGTCGTATTACGAAGCTATGGCTTCCTATGGTAGCGACAAGCCAGATACCCGTTTTGACATGAAACTTCACCGAGTTGAGCAGTATCTACCTGCAGATTTCATAGGCAAGATCAGTTCTTTAAACTCCCCTGTTGTCGAAGCCTTCATAGTCAAAGGAAACGGCCATCCTGAGGAAACTATGAGAGTTCTGAGAAGCTTCATGAACACTCCAGAGGCCAAACCTTTCTTAGAAAACCCCGATGGAGCTCCAGGGACCTTTGTCATTGATTCCTCGAAGCCAATGGGTGGTTTGTCTGCCGCTGGGTTTGAAGGTGCATGGGATCTGGAAACGCTTTTTAAATTAGAACATGGTGACTTGGTATTTTTCCAATGTCGGAAAGATGAGCCTATTAGCGGAGGTTCAACCAAAGCTGGTGAGCTACGTTTAGCCGTCCACCAGTATATGGTTGAAAAGGGGTTCCTCAGTCCTCCGGTCGGTTTCAATTTTCACTGGGTTACCGGCTTCCCTCTCTTTTCCCCCTCGGTCGAGACAGAGCCAGGCCAAGGTGGCACCGCTGGGATAGCTTCAACTCATCATCCCTTCACCGCACCTCGGACAGCAGAGGATGCTGCCCTTCTATTAACAGATCCGACGAAGGCTATCGCTGATCACTATGATTTAGTCGTGAATGGCGTCGAGCTTGGCGGCGGAAGTCGTAGAATCCACTCAGCGGCAGTCCAAGAGTTCGTTCTCCGGGACATCCTAAAAGTTCCGCCTTCCCGCCTCCAGAGCTTTTCTCATCTGCTAGAATGCCTCAGGGCAGGCTGTCCTCCCCATGCAGGCATCGCACTTGGCTTCGACAGACTGATCGCCGTCATGCGAGGCACTCCAAGCGTTCGCAATGTGATCGCCTTTCCGAAAGGCAATAAGGGAGAGGACCCAATGGTAAAGACCCCCAGTCCAATGACAGAGGACTCATTACAAACTTATCATTTACAACTACGCCGAGGTGGCCAAAGTTGACCTGGACCTGGTTATACCAGCTAGACGAACTTGTCAGGGGACGTTCTAGATTTCTCGCAAGGTTCATCTGCACTATGCTATTTGAGCTTTAGATCCTCCTATACCACGATTATAAGTTTTAGGCAGGACACCCTGTATATTAGAGATTCCGTGTGCATGTTGGAAGCGTGTATGATATCATAGGCGTAAAAAGAGATACAGGGACTCCATTGTATTTTTATAAATTAGTGGCATATTACGGAGTACCATCTGGTAGATCATCAATCACTGTGCTAATAATGGAAGCGATCTCAAAATTAGGTATGGGTACAAACCAGTTGTCGCACGGAGTACGTGACACCGAGTTAACTAGCCCACATGTTCAAAAATAAGAGACGGAATACACATCCGAGCACTCGATATTTTGACTCACTGCACTAGGCCACACTTATAATCCATTTGGTTAGATATGACGTGAAGGCTCTCCCCGTTTCCCTGGCCGGCCTAGGTACGGGAAACTCGAGCGATCTGATAACGAAATATTCCGAAGCAGGCCCAAGATGCCCAAGAAAACTGCCGTTGGCCTTTTCATTGGACAATGGACTGCATTCTCTGGACTGCCCTTATTTTGGCGTCGTAATGATCTGGGCATGCAGGTCTGATTTCCCCTTCTCAGGGATGATAGGCATCGGCCTGGCCAGGGAACCCTGCTATATTCTTCTCACTCCGCAGCGTCTCCATCCACACCATATGCAAACAAGAGCACCATGGGGAACCTCGTCCGCTTTGGCCCAGAGTATGGAGCATATCCTGGGCCCAACTTCGTGTTCTGTCTTGCGCTGGCCACCGTGCTTCGGGCGGGAGGACGGTCCAGAGGCCCGCACCTAACTCGAAGGGGATATCCCCATGGGTTAGATCCCGACAATTTTCGAGCTATCCAGGGGGGCCGACCAAACTCACCGCATATCAACCCAAGTCAGCTGGCCGTCGCCTCTCTGGAGACATGCAGAAAGGCAGACAGATGGTACCACCTGGAAGCCAGCCGAAGAGAAGGAAAAGTTGACGAAGCTGACGGCTGAAGGGGAGGGTTCTCGAAGGGCAAGTTCTTCCCTCTTCCACCGCATGGCAATGATGCAGACTCGTTGACTTGCAGGATGAGCTCGCTATCAAGATCCAATAACAGGCCTTGAGAGCCTACCCTGGCGCTTGTTTAGAGGTGTACGATATGCGAGAGAAAGCGAAAAAGGAGGGAGAGACGGGTTTAGCTGTAGTATCCCGGTGGAAATTGCCGGCCGCCATGCTCCATTTTGATGCCTTCGACCAACGCTAACGCTGCAGCTCTCAACTGCACCTTGATGACGGGACATTCTCTCGCATGCACCCATGTACGGAGCATTCCGCCCTCAAATAAGTATAACCCCTAGAGGCCTGCAGGGCCTTTCAGCCTTCTCCCGCCCTTGGACTTTTGCCCGTCGTTTGTCGACTGCCTCTTTCTCTCAGCATATATTATTTCGATCAGTACTCCGTATGCCTGTCTCTTGATGAGTTGTACTGGTGTTTGAGTTCAATTGAGTGTTCCTATCGCAAGTAGCCCTCTCCCGCTGAGTAACTATTACACTACTCCGTATAACTGCTCCGGGCCTTCACGATGGGTTTGGACCTGGAGGCCAATGGGGACGAACACCCCTTTCTTATGAATGAGACGGTCGAGCACCTTTCCTGGAAAGGCGTCACTGTCAGTGTTAAGGATAGAGAAACAAAACAGCCCAAAGCTATTCTCCGCGATGCTACCGGTTATGTAAACAAAGGTGACTGACCTGCCACGGTTAACCTGACTTGAGAAATGGGGGAGTTGACTGGCTAACATGGTGCGTGCTTTGCTGTAGGTGAACTGATGGTGCTCATGGGCCCGTCAGGAAGCGGGAAAACGACTCTATTGAATGTACTCGCCGGTCGAGCCAATAGTCTGCGTGATGGGGTTAACGGTGAGGTTCTCGTCAATGGCCGGGCAGCATCGAAAGAGACGTTTAGGCATCTGAGCTCCTATGTGGAGCAGGAGGATGTGCTTATCGGGTCATTGACAGTGGAGGAAACGCTGTACTTCGCGGCCCAGCTGTCGCTCTCCAGGTTCGTGTATCGTTTGCACATCTATGAATTCAATGCATTGCTAATGCTGGGCAAAAAACAGATCCATCCCAAAGAAGGATCGAATCCAGCGTATCAAATACCTTCTCAACTCATTCGGTATCCAGAATCAGGCTAAGACCTTGATCGGAACCCCAATTCGCAAGGGAATCAGCGGTGGCCAGAAACGCCGTGTCAGTGTGGCTGCTCAATTGATTACCTGCCCTAAGATCATCTTCTTAGACGAGCCTACCAGCGGCTTAGATTCCACCGCCAGCTATGAGGTGATGTCGTTTGTGAAGGCCCTAGCCAGGAAGAACAATGTGAGCCCGCTTCTGACCTTCATGTACCCCAATGCGCCGTCGAGTATGCATATACTGATATTGAAATCAAATAGCTCATCGTAATTGCGAGCATTCATCAGCCGTCCACCTCAATGTTTGAATCATTCGATAAGCTTCTCATTCTGTCTGCAGGAAAGACCTGTTACTTTGGGCCCGGGAAGGACATGAAGGCATACCTTGACAAAACAGGACACCCGATGCCCGTTCAGATAAACCCGGCAGAGTTTGTGCTGGATCTTGTCAGCACGGATTTCGCAACCGACACGGAAGAGGCTGAAGCTCAATTGGCCAAAATACACCAGGAATGGGAAGATTCAGAAGAGTCTTCAAATGTGAATCTCGAGATATCCAGGCTGACTACCCTGTCCGAGAAAGAAGAGAACATCACCCTTTCGGCAGACCAGTTGCAACATGTTAACATCGTATCGACTATCGTCACGTTGCTGCATCGATCTTTTATCAAGGGCTGCCGTGACGTTGTTGCATACGGCATTCGAGTTGCAATGTATCTTGGCCTGGCTATCATGGAGGGTACTGTCTGGCTGCGACTTGGGACTGGCCAGGAAAACATTCAGCCATACATCAATGCTCTGGTGGGTATCATTTCTAGAACATCATGACGAAGGAGTAGCTCGTCTGCTAACGATCTCCGTGCAGTTCTTTTGCTCCGCTTTCATGTCATTCATGGCGGTTGCATATGTGCCTTCGTTCCTTGAAGACCGCGCAACGTTCATCAAAGAGCGAGCCAATGGTCTCTATGGCGCAACTTCGTTCGTGATATCCAATTTCCTCATTGGAATGCCATTTTTATGTATGACTTCAGCTTCCACCCCTGGAAAGATATATATATATATATATAACGTGCCGCAGCTGACCCCATTGCAGTCATGATCACGATAATATTCTCTGTTGTAGCATACTGGCTTGTGAACTTCCGCTCAGGCGCAGACACCTTCTTCACGCTGGTTATGTGGCTCTTCCTCGACCTGCTTGCCGCCGAGTCCCTTGTCGTCATGATAGCGTCTCTATTCCCTAATTTTGTGGTTGCTTTGGCCCTCACGGCCTTCACAAACGGTATCTGGATGAGCGTTGGCGGCTTTATGGTCGCCCCAGCAATCCTGAACGTGTTCTGGAGATACGTCTTCCATTATATAGACTACCAGGTATGTATTTGCTTCTGCTCCTTTCATACCGCGAACAAAGAAAACGGTACCGAGGAGGCAGGGGAGGAAAGAAGAAAATATAGCAGAACTCGCTAACGGATTCCGGCCATTAGACGTATGTATTCCAAGGGATGATGGTGAATGAGTTTTCTGGCCGTGTCTTCGACTGCGGCAAGTCGTGTCAGTGCATGTATGCCAGTGAGCTTGCGTCTCAGTGCCAGATTTCAGGAAAGGGTATTCTGAACTCCTTTGGATATGCCACCGACAAGCAAGCACAATGGGCAGGAATCCTCATTTCGATCACTGCAGTATATCGGATCCTGGGATGGATTGTCCTGTACATGAAGAAGACTTGAGTGATTGTGGCCATCCTGTTATGTTGGTGCCGTGCTCTGGCTGTTGCTCTGTAGTTTAACCTGATGTACTAAAGACTGGGAGGAGGCCTCTTTAATGACTGGATATGGACTAAAAAGAACCAAAGATCAAAAAGTCCAGATACGAAGGATACGAATAATGGGTGGTAGCCATGGGCTACATTTATCAACCTAATAATAATATATATTATCTTTGGACTATTATCGCATACAAAAGTATAGGAAGATCTCTCCTGTATTGTTTGCATACGTGAAATATTATTGAATATTGGTAGGATAGAAATGGACAGATGCTACCAAGGGCATCATCACCTTACCCCCGACGACTCCTTTGAACACCTCGCCGTCACCCGGTGCACCCCAGAACAGGAGTCGAATGAATAATGAGACATGATAGAGAGCCGAAAACCTCAACTCCGTGCACAAACGTGGATCGGACCCCAGGAAAAGTGGTATCAGTTGAGAATGAAATGGTTATTGTCCGAAAGTTTTTACCCGCCAGAAAACCCCGAAAGTTTGAAAAAGCTCTGCTCAAATCAGGCGAACGTGGTGATAGATTGGGAAGGAATATCTGAATATACTCCTCTTGGCTTCTCTTGCGACGGGTTTGTAGCGTTCGCCGTCTTGTTTGATGGTCACCGACGAAGGCCGAAGGCCAATGGTAAGCACAGTGACTATGCAAGAACCCGTGGGATATGCATTGTCAAGAAAGGCGAGACAGTGTTGGTTCGTTATATCCCGCTGGCCATCTCGGCAACGGCAAATCCTGCAACCAAGAAAAAGACATGGGAAGAGAAAACGGGGGAAAAAAAAGAAAGAAAAAAAAAAAAAAAGAAGAAAAAAAAAAATAAAAATAAAAACCAAGGGATACCTGTGCGCCCTGCAGGCATTAATTAAATAAATGAGCGAGGAGGGAGGGTAGCGGGATATATTTTTCTTTATACGTTGGAATATATAAAGGAGAAGGGCCAGGCTTTCCAGTCAGAAAACAAACAAAACAGGCAAAGCTGCGTTGGTTTATGTTTGAAATGAGGCTGAAGTTGAAGCCTACTCAATAGGAATATCACCTAGCCATATATCATTATTGACAATGGTAGCAATATCAGGACCGGTGTCTTCGACAGTCGAATAAGACGGTGGTCGGACGCCAATATCAAGCACCTCCCTTGCAACCATCTTTATATGTCGCATTACCAGTCTGGATATCGACCATGTCGGACCCAGGGCCTTGAGCTCCCCTATAAGCAGTGCAATACGATCCCGGCGAGGTTCCAGCGTATCCGACGCGCGAATGGAGCATGCGCAGAGCTGTACAAGTGCACTCAGCACCATACCACAAATGAAAAAAGGCGAATGCTTTATGCTCGGCGACCTCAAGGCTGCAAGGTTTGCCAGGCCATTGGCAGCCTTGATCGACTTAATAGCATGGGTTAGGTTGGAGGAAGGGTTCGTTCTGAGCAACCGTATCCAGCGCCTGGCACAAGGAATGCTCGACATGGCTACAGGGGTAGACAAAAGGTTGGACTGGGGAGTATGCAAGTATATCGATGCGCAGTGAATTATCATGAAGGCACGGAACATGACTTGGTCCACTTGGTCGTCTACTGCAAGAATATCGCGCCTCGAAGGTGGGAGATGATGGAACCAGCTGCCAATACTTGCATCTATAGACTCTATCTGGTCATATTCAGGGTCTTCTGGAGCATAGGTGAGGTCGAGAGTACGTTTCAATACTCTCGACGCTTCGATTGCATGGCAATAGGACGAGTACTCGCTGCTTCCGTCTTCGTCCTCGAAGATTCTGTCATAGAATTGAGCGGCGGTGGGCGATTCAGTCAGGTATATGCCGGCTGAATAGCTGAGGTCATCACAGGGGAGGGGAACATCCATGATGACACTGCTTGAAATCTGGCAAGGGGTCTGGTCGAACCCGGAAAACATCGCATCAATCATATACACCTCCCACCACGTCCGTCTTATGTTTTCACACAGGACAGCATCTTCGCCTACAACGCTGGGGGCAAACGTTCTCATGTTCATCCCCAACTTCATTGCTAGACCTGCTGCCTCTGTGAAGGCTTTGACTCCCTCTGCTCGCTCATTACGTCCATGCAAGGTGATGGAAAGTAGCAGCAGAGACTGGACTTTATAGCAAGATACCTCACTTTTCGCAATCGACGAGATGACAGCCGGCCTGTATGCATCCGGGGATACGCCGGAAACAAAATGCGCGCCTATGAACTTGAGGGTAGCCTCCAGGCAGGTGGGAAGGGGATACAGGCGAGGCAAGAAGTGCGCGGGCGGTAGTATAGGATGAGAGTCGTGAAAGTACGCATAGTAGAAATCGATGAGGTACGAGTCCCCTTGTAAGTCCGTGACGCCATACTGGCTCCCTCCCGCCAGCCCCGGAGCAGCCGCCGCAGCCGCAACGGGTTTATCCACACATATTGGGGTCTGGTTATAGAGACCGTTATGGTTGCTATTGTTGCCGTTGCTGCTGCTATGAGTGTTATTGCTATGATGATCTGTCGTCTGCCAGGTGGGAACTGAGCTGCTCTGGTCTGAAGAGAAGTCATCCGCCGTTGAAACGGTACCTGGAAGAGGTGTGCTGACGAAAGAGAAGGTCGATAGTTGCGGTGTCAACTGTAAGGTGGCCGGGGCGGTATATTCGGAAGAGGGGGTCAACAGTGGCACAGGAGTATATGATACTGCATACTGGTTTCTAGAACCAGGTTTATATCCTCGGCGAGAAGGGGTGTAGTGGCATCCAAGCTGGCCTTTGCGGCACCGTCCACATATTGGCATCACACCGTCGCATTTGAGATGTTTCCTTCGGCATGCCAGACACGCTAGAGAGGAGGGCTTCTCCCCGGATCGATTAGTAGTAGCGAAGGACATGATGGCGCATTCTGTGCAGCATAATAATAGGGACGATAATGGTCAGTAGGCACAGTAACAATTATCAACAACTGGCGAGGGTGATCAGATTTGCTCTGGTTGCAAGCCCACAACAGGGTGATTGTCACCACAGAGAGACGGAGCGAAAAAGCCGGACAAGAGCTGCCATGGGTTGAGCGACGAACTCCTCCAGCATCACGTAGTCTCAATACCCATTTGCGACAGTGAGCTGATCTCGAAAAGAAGAGAGGAAGATGAAGGGGAAATTGAACAAGGTCGAAATCTCGAAGATCGGTTTTTGCCCCCTTGCCAGCGTTAGTTATGTAAGCACTCAGCCTCAGACCACAAGGAGCAAGGCAGGAAATCTAGATATACTTAAAGTACGAAGTACGAGGCGTAAGAAGGCACACTCGGATGGGTTATGACATCTACAGAGAAGCTAGGCGAGACCTGGCCACTGGTATGCATAGAGGCTATGTAACCTTTTCTGGGTCGGCCAGCAACTGCGGTTGGTGGAACAGCTGGGAGGAGACGTCATACATGGTGAGAGCTTCGACGTCAAATATATTAATAAGATGCAGCGAGTTAAACGAGACGCAACTGGGGGAGCGCGGGGGTTCCCAAGTCGCAGGAGCATATAAAGGATCATGAGCCTGCCGCACTTCCGTCCGCCTGATGACTAGTACCAGAATCGTGATCTATTTTATTTTGGAGACGCCTTGTACTGTACATAGCCATGTCTGCCATCCAGGGAAAATGCCACTGCGGTGCTGTTGAATATACAGCCAAGCTTGGAGACAAGTCTCATATCCTCTGGTATGGTCTCGCCATCGTCATCGTCTTATGTTGGCCTTGCAAAGTATCGTAGACTAACAGACCCAGCCATTGCGATGCTTGCAAGCGTATCAACGGCAGTGACTTCACTCTCAACCAAGTCATTCCCAAGGCGGACCTCGAGATAAAGAAGGGTGACTTAACTAAATACACCTACAAGGGTGATTCAGGTGTGATTGCTGGCCCCTTTATATCTGGTAGCCCAACTTGATATTGACTATGAAGGCAACTCCGTGCACTGCTTCTTCTGCCCCACCTGCTCCACCCACATATATCATCATCAGACTGTGTTAGGCGACGACAAGTTTATCCTCCGCACGGCATCGTTGGAAGGCAACAAGGACTGGCCGGCCTCAGTTGAGATATACTGCAAGGACAGAGCAAAATGGCAGCCAGACGTTGCGCCAAAGGTATGCCAGGCTGGTCCAGAGTAGGGCTAATCTGTCATCTCGGTGTCAAAAGTGAAGATGTAGCAAGTTGGAAGTATATGGGATGAAAAAAAAAGTCTCTTTGTATAGGTCGTAAAGTCGTAAGTCGTGAAATCAAGTCAATGTAGTATCGGAAGAATCGCTCTCTATCCATGGTTTCGTCACTTCAAGACTTTGTCTATCCAGAGCTGACGGGGGGGATAATGGCAACCTCGTCATTGCACTCGATCATCCTCGTTTTGTCCTTTGCAGTCTCAACGTCAAGCTCTTCCCCATCCACGTACTGAAGGCGAACGCTAACGGCACAGCTAGACAGGATCTTCTCCTTCATTCCTGGATATCGCGATTCGAGAAGATCATATAGCCGACACAACGGGTAGGGTGCGGGGAAGGTCTCTGTATTCTTCTTTGTGTACGAAGAAGCACTCGCAAAGTAATGGAGCTGAAATGTTCCTGTAAAGGAAGTTGGAATATCAGTAGTAGCCATGGGTAAGGTAACGAGTGTCAGCTTGTTGTTCGTCAGTTTTAATTGATATTTGCCTGCCTTTATCCTCCTTTTTATGGCTGTTGTTATAACGAATTTATCTCCAGTTTCGTATTCCTCCAGCACTTTTTATAGATGACTAACAAGGTTCTATTGAGATTGGCCAATTACAACGCAGTATCAAATGGATATTTAAGTTCTCGAGGATCGTGTTCTTATTATTGTTCAGCTGTCAATTTGACCACCATCAGTACCGTTAAATGAGGCCACAGCTTGTCTCAAACAAAACTCTTCAGTCCAGAAACGATATCATCCTTCAAATCTTGCCAATTCTCCAATCCAACACTAACTCTGAGCAGCTCCCTCTCAACGGACGCGTCGCTCATGGCACGCCATTCGATGAGTGACTCTACACCGCCGAGACTGGTAGCATGGTGGAAAAAGTGCAACTTGGATGGTAAGGCACGCGCAATCCTTTCTTCCTTCATCATTATGGAGAAAACAGGTCCATACCCATTAGGCATCTGTTTTGACAACCACTCCATATCCTCCCTCTGCAAACTAGAATGGTTGATTTTAGCCACCGTCTTCTGGACAAGGCTGGCTTCCTCATCTGTGACAGTGGCAGTTGTCTCGGGAGCCCCGGGTTTGCCCTTGTGAAGGGCTGCGTCAAGCCAAGCCACGAGGTTAGTGGCATTCTGGCTCAGACGCTGTACACGGATTTCCAATGTTCTCAGACTTCGGGTGCCAAGCCACGACTCCAGGTTGCCCATGACACTTCCGATGTATTGTCGGTCATTTGCAAGAGATGAATACCAGTCCTTTCGCTGAGTGACCAAGACACCACAGAGCATGTCACTGTGGCCTCCGAGATACTTGGTTCCTGAGTGCATGATCATATCCGCACCCCATTTGAACGGATCCTGGAGACCGGGAGGTCCAAAAGTGCTATCAACCAGAACATATGCTCCTCGGGAATGAGCCTTTTTGGCATAGCTTTCTATGCAGTAGGAAGTTCCATGCGGGTTCAATGGTGTCTCAGGGAGGATTACATCGCCCTTCTCCAGCTGCTCGGCAGGACAATCAAGATCTATCTTTTTCATGCCTGTGAGACGAGATAGAATGCCCATGACGCCATGGCTTCCATGATATCCCTGTCCGACGGAGACATGGCGAGGGTTGAAGAAGACGAGGGCAGCGTGGAGAGCCGAGAGACCGGACGAATAAGATAGGCAGTGGCCATTGACGAGCTGTGACAGGATGGTCTCAAAGCGGGTGCTGCTTGGGGCACCACAGCGGGAGTAGACGAAGCTATTTGTCCCTTCATGCTCGCCCTGCGATGCGTTTTAGAATTATTGTTATACTGAAAGCCGCAGTTAATTTGGAAGTACCTACGTGAGCTTCAGACTCTGGAACCAACTCGTCTGGGTTCTCGGTGTATCTAAAGGTGGTCGACAGATGAATCGGAGGGGACACATCTGTCACATTGTTCATAGTGTCATCGGCGTGGAGAGCGACCGTCGACCGGCCTCTGTCCTTCAGGTCCATGTTGGCGAAGCTCTTTTCCACCTGCTCTGCCATAACCAATGATATCCCTATTCAATTGTTGACCTCGTCCTGGCGAATGGATTTATATACCGGGCAGCACCGACTCAGTAGCGAAGGCTGACTCAACACTGCCCACTGTGATAATAACACTAATGCCTATATAACAACTAAGTATAGCAGCAAGACGTAAAGGCGGGGCCTTTTTTTTTTTTTTTTTGGTCGCGGGCGGGCGATTTCCGGTCGACGCGCCGACGCCGGCGCCGGCGCTTGGCACGGAACCTTGGAAGACGCGAGGTCACGTGGTCAATTTAACAGCCTGGAAAGCCGAAAAGGGAAATGAGGACGACAAGGAAGAAAAGGACTTTGTATATCCAGCTGTATACAACGATTTAAAGCGCTAGTGGAACGGCCTGCCACGTCAATAGATAAGCCGACAGAGACAGAGCAAGCAAGGAAAGGGACTAGGGAAGAAGAAGGAGAAAAGGAAGAAGGAGAAGCAAGAGGCAGCCAAGAAGAGAAGAAGTGGAGTACAGAGAAGGAAAGGTGGGAAAGCAAGTACAGATGCCTTCAACTTGTGGTATGGATGATGAAAAGAGACATCGTCGAGTCTCGTGTCGACATGAGCGATGGACGAACAGAGAAAAAAAAAGGGTAAGTGAGCCCGCTGATAAGAATACGATGAAGATAGGAGAAGTAGATGAAGTGACGAGCAGAAGACGAGGAAAAAACAGAGGGACGAAAAAGACAACCCGCTAAACGCCAAAAGCGCCAAACATAGTGGTGGAAATGCCAGGATCGACGATTATTTCCGCAGTGAGCCCATTCTAGATGGTTCCTTCACTGATCCAGGCACAGCCGATTGGAAACTATACCGATCTATCAAGCTAGTTAGCAACTCTGTTCACTACCGCGTGCACAGTGGTGTGGTAGGTTGTCTTACCATTCTCCGAGTCAAAGCCAATAGTGATATCGTCATGCTCGCCAGGATATTCCGGCATATCAAGGCAGACGAAATCAGCAGACTCGTCCTCGCTATTCTTGGGCAGCGCGAACTTGGCATCGATGATTTTAATGCCGTATTTTCCAGAGCGGTTGAAACTTTCAAAGTTATCTGTGCTCTTAAGGACAAAATTCATGCTTCGACCGTGGCTGAAGCCTGCTAGGAAAGCAACTAGCTGGACATTCTTTTCCTGTTGAATGATTTGGAGACGAGCCCTGGAGGCTTCCCATTTCTTGTAGATGGGGACTACCATGCGTCGACGGGCAATGGCGAACATAGAAGCGTAGCTGGAGGATAACGTTCGTTAGCAAATGAGATTACTTGGCAGAAGTGAAGAAGAGGCTAATTACCCATCAAAGAGTACTTTGAATCCTGTGATGCCTTGTTGGAAATGATGCATATCTATAAATGTGAGTTAGCATGAATTCCAAATTAAAGATGGAAAGCGAAGAAACATTTACTGACCCTGCAGCGTCGCGAAGTTATACTTCCTGATGATGGGTTGCGTTTTTGAAACGGTGAGCAACTCCTTCATCTGCGCTGGGACTTCCTTTGGCACCATATTCTCAGCTACAGCTACACTCAAGTCGTCCTGCGGTGGCCTAATCACGCTCAGCGTGGTAGGAACGTTAATATCAAGGCTTATCTTCAAATCACCGGGTCCAATGTTAATTCTATCCGTGACTGAGCCCCAGCTCGAGCTGATGAAGACACGCAATTTCTCTGAGAGGACGGTACTCGGCACGCTGTGTTTATGATCTGGCCGCTCATTGATGACTGAGGCATTGCCTTTGTCGAATTTGAGGAATGTCTTGCGGGAGTTAAGGGCATTACCGGAATTGCCCAGTGGATCAACGCCTTGTATCATTGTGAAGGACTGGAGAGCGAGGTCTGGAGATTTGGACTCTGACTCCGAAGGCGTAATGCCTATGAGGAGGGAGTGCAGACTTGCGCGAATTTCTGTATCCTGGAAGGTAAGAAGCATAGAGTGTTCGACCCCATTCTCAAAATGCTTGAGCATCATTGCCGGTGCGCCATCGTCACCGCGTAAATAGCCGAACACAATGGGGGAGCCGTTGCCCAGGGTATGTGAGACGCTACTGAGGGTCTTTACTTTGGGACTAGTGACGGCAAAGAAGCGGAAGCCACGGTGAGATTCACGTGTGCCCGTCCCTTCGGTGATTTTGGTAGACTTTTCGAATAGCTGTATCCTGCAGCGTTGGGTGGGTTCCGAAGGGAACGACTTGTTGGGGGAGCTTTCGGTGTACTGGAATTCATTCAGGATGTCTGCAAACACCAACCTTTCGCCAGCGGCAGGCTGCATGTCCGCTTGCACTTTGCGGGTGTATTCAACGATCTTCCAGAGCATTTTAAAGTCTGCATCCTGGAACTTGATATCCAGCTCGAATCCGCGAGGGAGACGGAGAGTGAGGGAATGGAGGCGGACCTGCCAGTCTATGTCGGCCCAAGTGGGACCCTGTTTCTTGTCGGACTGGATGGTCAGGTTGACGAGCTCGTTCTGGCTAGTGAGGGTGGCAATTACGTTCCAGTCTGATCTGTCACGGGTGATGGAGAGCATGCATGGAATGGCATACTGCTCTGTGTCATCGTCCGAGGAGCCCAAGCAGACCTCGACGAACATTCGGCCGTAGCAGAAGTGGCGGTTTGTGTCGCTGATTGGCATTGTCTCCGCAATGTCGGGCTTCTTGGTCGAGTGGTCGATGAGCATGGACTTGGAGCCGGAGCCAGACAGCACAGATGATATACCGGGGGCGAAGAAAGGGTAGCGGATCCAGATGGAGGTATCGATGTTTTGGGAGAGAGCAGGAAGCTGGCCAGCTGAGGAAGACGAAGGGATGATGTTATTACGCTGCATGGACATGGAAAGGGCTCGTAGATGGCTGATAATGGCCAGGTGGATGCTGAGGTGGCTTGCCAGGGTATCGTTACCCATTGACTGCACCATGGGGAGTATGGCTTCAGGCTTCATCCTGCTAAACTCGCCGAGCTCGGGGTGCTGGGGCACGAGATGCTGGTTAATCCACCATGCCTTAGCCAGATTGATGATGGCCTGCTGCGATTGCTCGGTAATGGGCGACTGTCTTCCATTGGCCGAGTTGAGACCAGGCGGGTGAGGAGGACGGGCGCGCATAAAGGCCTCGAGATCAGCTCTGCCCTTGATGAACCACCAGACGCTGGCACGCACCCACTCCGAGAGGGAGGTCTCCATGATGGGTTTGACACTTTCGGCAGCACGAGAGAAAAGAGGGATGTAGCAGTCGACGTAGGCGGAGAATTCAGCCAGGGCAGCGTCTCCAACCATGTTAGCCACGTTCTTGAGTTTTCCTGAGGAGCCAGAGGAGGTCTTGGAGTGGTGACCCATGTAAGCTGGCTTATCAGGTTGTAGCCTGTTCGATTGCTGCTGCTGCTGCTGCTGCTGCTGTTGCTGTAGGAGTTGGGGATCATTGTAGGCTGCCTGTCTGGATTCTGTTCTAACATAAGGCGGTGGAGAGGACGTAGGTGGTTTGGCAATCTTGGTGTGAGCCGGGTTCGATGGAACAGCAGGAGGCGGAGGGTAGCCATCAAGGCCCTGTCTCTGCTGTTGCTTTTTGTTCTCCTCTGGCAGAGCGGCCATGACGCTGCCCCAGAAAGACAGGCCTGACTTGCCAGACTGGGCTGGTTCTTGCGGGCTGCCTCTGTCGGCATCTCTGCTCTCCTGCTGCTCGTCTCTGACATGCCTGCCATGATCTCTATCTCTGTCTCTATCTCTGTCCCTGTACTCTCTGCCGTAGTCTCTAGCATGATCATTGTTGTCCCTGTAGTCTCTGGGGTAGTCTCTCGAGGGAACCTGCTCAGGAGAATGCTGCCGGTGGTGATCCTGCTCGGCCGCCGTCGCCTGCTCCCTGGCACGCTGCAGCGCAAGACCTTCCTCATCCCTCATCTTGGCCCGTATCCTCTCCGCAAACGAGCTCTCCTCACTGGTATCTCTCCATGACAGCCGGGACCCTCTAGGCTGCTGGCTGATGGACAAGAGAAAATCCGAGTTCTGCGCATTGCGTAATTCCGGCGACGGCTGCAGCTGGGTCTCCTTGCTGGGGGAGCTGCACTTCTTCTCCCCGTCTGGGCCTGAGACGGCAAATGAAGGCAGAGTGGGCTCCCTGTTATCCAGGTAGCGAGCCTGGGAGTCTGAAGCGTCCGAGGACGAGCCGCCGTCAGCGCCATCCGTGAACTGGGAGGCGGACGAATTGGAGCGTGCACGATAAAGCGATATCTCCATCGTCGGGGCCTCTGCCTCCTCGCCTCCCTCGCCCATGACCGAGGGCGGCCGGTCACAGAACCTCACCCGGAGGCCCTCGCAGCGCCGTCTCCTCTTCTTCAGGCCTCCTGGACCTGCCACCGCAGTGCTCCCATTGTTGTTGTTTTTGCTGTTAGTCCGGGTGACGTTGACGTGGACGTCTACTGCGGCGGCCGTGGGGGACTGAGCAGCACCAGGCCAGCGCTGCGAGACAGAGACATCGATCTTGGGCGGGAGCCTTGCTGAGGGGAATTGCTGCTGGTACTGCTGCTGCTGCTGCTGCTGCTGCTGCTGTACGGGAGGGCGCGAGGAGGCCAGGAAGTCGTCTATCTGCTGGTCCCGGGTGGACTGCTTGGTCTCCTTTTCGCGGGAGAAGAGCTTGCCGCGCCACTTGCGGGCGACCTTGGTCTCTGCGGCCGTCAGGCTGCTCGTCTCGGGAGAGTTGAACATGATTCCTTCATGCGGTTATCCAGTCGTTGTCTTCGTCGTCCTCGTCCTCGTCGTCAAGCTGGCTGCCGTCCAGGGGGCGATCTATGTCTGCTGCCCGGCGAGTCGAACCGCCAGCACAGCCAGCGAATGTCCGGTCCCTCGTCACTGTCGGCCGTCACTGCTCGCTTCCGGCCTCTGTCTGCTCGTCTGCTCGTCCGGCTCGTCTGCGTCTCGTCGTCGGCGGCGTCTGCGTGTCTTGTTTCTGCTGCTGCTGCTGCTGCTGCTGCTGCGTCTGCTGCGTCTGCCCTAGAGGTTTCGGGCTCACGTGCTTTTTTTCTGCTGCAGATGAAACGCCCAAGGGGCAAGGTTGGAGGCGCCGGGGAAGAAGAAAGCCAGAAGGCCAGGCGGACGCTCGCAGACGGACGGGCAGCTGGCGGATGCAGGTGTCGATACAGAGATTATTGGTCTATAGCTAGCTACAGGGCGTATAGTTAATAGCAGTAGTAGTAGTAGTAGTAGTAGTAATAATAGTAATAATAATATGTAGCTGGCTATAGAGAGGCCGCTGGCGTGTCACCGGAGGTTAGGGATGCAGCGCAGCGCAGCCAAGGGCCTCGATGCCTTAAATACAGAGTCATGGACGAGACATCCAGACTTCCTTGTTTACCTGCTCTCTCTCACTCAGTAATGCTAATTAAATTCCTGTGGTCCGTCTGCGAGGGAAACGAGGCTTTGCCTGCGCCACCATCGACCTGCTCGGTCGCTCGTTATATTAATAGCTACCTAGGTTATATAGCACCAACGCTGCTCCTACAGCAACATCACCAACAACAACAACAACAACGTCAACGACAACAACAACGACAAGCGACAAACGACATCACCACCCCCGGCGTCCGTCCTGCGGCCCTCGTCCCTGGCCGTCTCCCTCGTTCGGCGGCCCGTCGACCCTCGTTTTTCGACCTTGTTGGCCTCCGCCTGACCTCGCGGGCCCAGTCTTTTCGCCCGATCTCGACTCTTCCAAGGCTAACGACTTGATGGACAGGAGGAAGCCCGCAGCTCCAAGCCACCAACAGACCAGCGGCCAGCACCAAACCATCCGTCCGGCTGTCCTTGGACGCGCGACCAGGAACCGCCCAGAGCTCGTCTCTGTCAATTGGGATCTTCTGCAGGGCAGTGGCCGGCTGGACAGGCTGACAGAATAAAAGGGGAGATGGTTGAGCTTCACGCCGGCAGCTCCAGCACCATCACCATCACCACCACCACCGCCGCCGCCGCCGCCAGGAGGACGCACAATAACAGGCGAGATGCAGGCTCAGCAGCTTCGACCGTCCTCCAGCTAAAGGCCATGGCCTCCTCCTCCTCCCGCCGCGCAGCAGCCATGCCTGCCTCGCCGTTGATCGCCCTGCTACTGGTCCTGCTGCTCGCTGTCCAGGCCGGCCGCGCAGCCCTCGTCCCCTTCAGAAACTGCCTGCCGGACGCCATCACCAAGTCTAGTCCCGTCAAGCTGCAGTTCATACCTCTCTACGTCGCCGCGCAGTTCAACAGCACGCGGCCGGACCTCAATCTCAACGTCACTGTCTACGGAAACGTCAGCGGCACCGAGACGAAGGAGCCATACCCGCCCCCAGACGACCCGCGATGGAGCAACCCCAACGAGACACTGGGCAAGATAGTCAGTGTAAACCCGTCGACAAACACCTTTACCACCCTGTTCCCACGGCTAGACGTTGTCAGCTTCTCGGCTGCCGGTGGCTCGGTCCAGCCGTTCTGCGACTCTCTCACCCAGGGCGAGTGTCCTCTCGGGCCCGTCTTTAACTTCACCCAGTGAGCAACTCCATACACACACACACATATATATATAGTAAAAAGATACTAACAAGATCAGGGACTCGACGGCGGATCTGCGGGCGTTCTCGACGACGTACAATATCACTTCGTCCTACGCGTTCGCTTCTCTCCTGGCTACGCTCGAGGTCAAGGCTGGAGACGCTAGCAAGACGCCCTACACCTGCGTGGTGGCAGACATCGCCCCAGACCTGGGTGATCCCCTGAGATCAGCTCTCGCATACGTTCCCCTTGCTATACTCTTGCTCGTTGGCGTGGCTACTGTCTACGCTGCCATCTACAGCCCTTGGGGAACCACAGATATCTTCCGCTGGACCTGCAACTATGGCCGAGACGAGGACCTCATCCGTCTCGTCACGCCCGGATTCGCAGACTGCCTGCAGTATATCCAGTTCATCATACTCACCGGCTCGCTTACCCTGAGTTATCCGGGCTACTACCAACCCGTCGTCAGCCAGATCGGTTGGTCTGTCCTCATGTTCAACCAGAGCTTCGTCAGCCATGGCAACGGCACGACGCCCCTGATAGATGGCGTCTACTCCGTCAACGGCACCTACGGGCTCGACCGCATGGGCCAGTTCGTTGGCATGACTCGAGCCGCGGACATCTGGGCAGGCACTGTCATCTGGCTACTTGTCATCCTCGCTGCCGTCACAGCGATCATCCTGCTCGGTTTCGGTCTCAGATGGCTCCATCACAGCGTCAGCCACATCGCAGAGCAGGATCTGCAGTCCAAAAACACAGCCTTCACAATGGGAAACGTCGTTCGTATCGTATTCAACTTCTTCCTTCTCCCGCTAGTCTCACTATCCATGTTTCAGCTCGTCGAGGCTGGCTCCTCTCCCGTCTATGTCGTGGCCCTGGCTGTCATCTTACTTGTCCTGCTCGTTGGATTCGCTGCATGGCTCCTCTATCTCATCTTCTGCACCCGTCCTCGCTCGTATCTCTTCGACGATCTGCCTACTGTGCTATTGTACGGACCACTCTACAACACCTTCAGCGATGGAGCGGCGCCTTTCGCTCTCATATCTGTGCTGCTCACCTGCATGCGAGGGGTGGCCATTGGCGCCGTTCAGCCGTCGGGGATAGCCCAGATTGCTATCCTGGCCATCTGTGAAGTCACCATGATCCTCACCCTCATCGCTTTTCGGCCATACGAGTCTCCCACTTCGATGAATGCATATCATACCATATTTGCACTGGTTCGGTGTCTCACTATCCTCCTATGCGTTGCCTTTGTTCCCTCTCTCGATATTCCGGACCCGGCAAAGGGATGGATTGGCTACGTTATCCTCATACTACATGGCATGGTCCTCATATTCGGATTCTTCTTGAATGCCATCCAAACTCTCATCGAAGTTGTAGCCAGACAAGCCGGAGCTGGTGATGTAGGAGTTCAGGGTGAGGCCGCTAGAGGTGGTTTGGTAAAGGTATGTTCACACTCAATTGGGCTTTTCTACATTCTATCCGTCAGTACATCGGTGCTCACTAACCTACCTCTACAGGTATTTGGTGTCCGTCAACTATCCCGTCGCACCCCCAGGAAGCGCCACATACCGCGCAGAAGCACCAATTCTGAGGCTGCCATGCTCAACGTTGACTTGGAGCGCCCGTCAACTCAGCTCGACAGTGAGCGGCCCAGAAGTTTTTCAGGCAGCTCGGCCGTCCTGCTAAATCGGCCTGGCTTGGACCAGGCAAGCACCGGGTTTGAGTCCGGGGCCGGGAGCCTGTTCAATGCCAGCAACCCGCGTGGACCGGGCAGTGGCCCGTACACGCCTACCACCCTGGGAGCCTTCTCAGCCGGGCCAGGACAAGCTTCAGGCGGCGGCGGGTCACCGCGCAGCGGCATCATGCATATGCATCTTAAACACGAGACGGCAGACCCGTACTACCGTCCGCCCCGGCAACGGCGCGCTACCCTTGAAGGAATACGCCACAGTTCATGGAATAGCAGCGATATGGGCAATGGACAGTCAAGCCGTGTGGCTAACACTCCCGATCTGGATCCAGACGCAGACCATGATGCCGATGTCCTAGCTAATCACCCTGTCGGTAATGGAAGCACCCCAACGCCAGCTTATCTCGGCGCACCCAGAGAAGATCCCGACGGCGACGGAGATGGTGATCCTTCCCTTCGAACAGATTACGCAGTTCGCGAAGTAGACTTTTACTACCGGGTTAGAGGCCCTGCACTGTCGCATTCCGCTACTAGGAAACTCAAGACCGGTCCTGCTGATCCCACCGGCCCTGTATCCTCGGCCAGCGGATGGCTAAAGAACCTATTCGGTGGGAAAACAAAGGATAAAGGCAAGGGCTTCGAGGTTGTCCGAAGCTCTCGTGCGCCTCCCCAGGCTGCAATGCAGCGACCACCGCCACCTGAACAGGATAAATTCACAGAGCCTTACAAGGATGACCCTGACAGTGCACAGGATCCAAATACTACTGCTACTACCTCTGGTCCTGCTCCAAATCCTGATCCAAAAGCTTCCCCTGTCACTGAAAAGGCCAAAGCAGCGGCTACTTCAGACAACGACAAACCACTCCTACCACCTATTCTGCTTGAAGACGCTATTGAATTACCCAGCCGAGCAAACACTCGCAATGTCACACCAGATGCTACATCCGCTCACTCACGCTCTCAATCCCAATCACATCCAGGAGCCCACGGCGGCATGCGAATAAGGCCGCCAACTATCCCCCGCAAAAGCTCAAAGCGCGGTAGTTCCGTTGACCTAAAAGACGTAAAACCTGGTGCAGCAGGGTCTTTCATAGGCGGGCCTCATTCCCGCAACAGTTCTCGGGATTATGAAGCCACCAACTCCGAGGCGCTCGTTCCTCAACGGACGTTCTCAAACCGAGTTATTCAGCAGTCACGATTACCGTTTGGTTCAAAGTCGTCTTCAACACACAGTGCTCCTGTATCACTCGACTCTAATGATTCGATGGCACAACCTCATGCTACTGCTGATGGGACAGATACGACTGACCAACCTTCTTCTCCAGGGCCCAGACAGAGAAACACATCAACTGCGACTTTCGAAGCTACTCGACGGGGAAAGTTGAAGGGCATGGGATATGTCCAACAGCATCGAGCCAGCGACCACATCCATGAAACAAGCTTATCCGGTGGCAGCACCGCAGAATTTATAGGCGATCACCCTCTTCCACCTACCTCCGCTCCCTCATCCTGATCACCTCCTGCCTTTTGCCTATTCTACCATTTGCATCTCATTCGTAATTTTTTTTTTTTTTTTTTTTTTTTTGATTTTTTCTTTTCATACAACCATCTACGAATCGGCGATTGGCAGATATTGATTCCAATACGGAATGGACCATAACATATCAATATCTCCTCCCTTTGCATACTAATGAATAATCACTTGACGAATCTCCTTTGCTTTCCCCCCCTACCACATTCTCCCTTCTTGCTCAAAAGTTGGATTTACTCTTTGTCTATTTCTTGCAATGTCGTTAATACGTGAGGCTTTTTTTTTTCCAATCCGCCTTCCAGCCAGTTGTTCAGTGCGTTTGATAGCCATTTACCCTAGCGTGTTCTTCCCAGCCTGTTTATCAAGAGCGACTATTTGGTTGGATTCTCTTTTGGTGATCCCTTTTTTTTTGTGTTCTATAGAGACCGAGGTGATTTCAATATTGGTGGGATCGGTGTGGCTATATTGGTTTCTGTTGAATGACAACAGATGTATTAAATAACTCCTATTTCAAATACGAAAAGTCTTGGAACTGTGCTAGAGTCTGGCGTCATCTATATTTTTGCATAGAAAGTATTAATATATACTACGTATTTAGGGAAATTTTCATCTTTGTTTTTCTTTTCACTTACATGGCTCGCTTCACTGGCTCAGCCAACCGAACAACCTAGCATCCCTCAAGCATCAACGACCACCGCTCGATCCGAACGACATCTGCTCTGCTAGTGTTTTACCCTCGAGCTGCTCTACACTTCCTGATTATCATCTCAACGCCTTCACAGCGTCTTCAACCTTCCTGGCGCACGGTTTGTGGCGTTAGAAGCATCACCCACCAAACGCCGCAACTCTGTCAACGGCCACACCAGAGAGACGGAAGGGATGGAGAACTCCTCGTGATCGGCAGTGGAGACCACTAGAGCTGCTGTCATAAAGTCAGCTACTTTGTCTGAACCTCCAGCTTGCTTGCTGCATCCCTCATGATTGGGAGAAAACGCCGCGCTTGACCCTTTCAACGCGCTGCATCGTCCTCGCCACCTCGAGACGAGATATTAATTAGTTATACAGATATCATCTTGATACACAACCTATCGCCCGGAAATCAACGAACTCCCCTGGCTCAATATCTACGTGGAGCCTCCCTCCCGTGCCCACAGCAAATGCTGGCCCGTCTAAACAGCGGAGGTTGGCGTCATCGAACACCCCCCGGATAACGGGCAACGTTGTCCAACAGTTAGAAAGGAGAAGAATACGGATATTACTTAC